TCCCTCCCCCCCTTATGCAAGACTAAATGGGCACACTTAAAACTAAACGAAAAAAAAAAAAACAATAATAGGAGACTAGACCGACATCTAACCTTCCGCTAAACACTTTGACCGTTAAACTGAAACCTTGGCGCACTACAGAGGTAGTGGCTGCTTAAAAACTCGACCCCAAGATCGTCCAGTTAAGAGTTTGAAGAGCAATCGTTAAGCACAAGAGCAACAGCCATATCATATGTATATCCACAGACAGAGGGAGATCGAACTACACACTATGCATATGTACATGCGAACGAACCAACGTCTGGGGTACATACTATTTGTATATAGCAAGTATCGGAGATAAAATGCGCAGAGGAAATGAAATGTAGAACTGTGTAGAATTGTTGTAATTTCTTGCTTTTCTAGCGACTGAACTGGGGCTTTTACGTAAACACTAGAAACACAAAATCCTGTTGCAATGGCTCAACAAGTCACATAGTCCATGGCTAGCAACCAACCTGTTTCCTTGACCAAGTCGCTTTAAACTTCTTTAACACGCGCTTTTCTTTTCGCGCAGTTTCTTGTTTTAAATGCTTCAACTAGTATTTGTTGTGGGAGCCACAGCACGTCCGCACGCTAGACAATATTTAATTCAACTAACTAAACTTTCGCGCACTGACAAAAACGAAAACATTCGGACGAGGAAAGCCAGCGACAGCCGAGATGCGAGCGAGCAAGCGATGGAGCGCCAACGTCAGAGCTTTTTTTCTGTCGGCGTGTGCATTTCATTGTGCTGCGCTGCGGAGTGGAGTATTTTGCCTATGTTCTTTAGATTAGCAGCATGCACGTAGCCCCCAATCGCTGTTAATTTACAATTTGGGAGAAATTGTAAACATTCACTCTATAATAACGTCAATTATCCAAATCCTAAGTGAACGATTGAATCGGATATCGTATGGATTTCATTTGGCGAGAGAGTGAGCGATAATATCAATACGCCGCCTGTAAACAATGCAATTTCTCAAATTAAAAGCCACACTCATGGACCAGTCAGCAGCCCAACCAGCGGGTTTAGCCTTCGCACTTTGTACCAGCAGTTAGGTTAAGACCTGTCACCCAATCTAATCGATGTTGTTCGCTCGCTCGGTGTGCCGTGTTAATGATAATTGGTTAGGCCGTGAATCCAGTTGCCCAGGCTTATAATAATCTGCGTATAGATAGCTTTATTGTTCTGGAACTTTGACCAGGCCAAAACCAGTTGGTGAGTCCGATCCATCGCATTGTGGCTTAAGCCAAAGTTTTTATGTACAAAACGCAGACACATTCCACATTGATTTGCATATCGCCGCTTCTTTCAAGCACAGAAGTTGAGGTTAAGTAAGACGAGAATATTTACAAAATTACGAAGGCCATTGGCTTGTTTCAGTCTAATTGCATATTCATGCACATGACCATTTGTATATTGAGCATTGCAGCCATTGCCATTGGTTGCAAAAAAAACATGACAGGTGTGAGAAAAAGTACCAAGAAGTGATATTTACAGCACATTATGCAAAGGAAAGGAATACGAAGATATACGATACGAAGAGTATCTGTTGTGGATATATGTAGCTTTAAAACTCAGAGACTGGATTTAATCGAAACGTAGTTTCGCCCATTTCTAATAAAGAATATACATATATGTATATTATTTATGTATAGCAATCAACATTCAAGGACAGCCTTATCTACCAACGTGGACAACAACAAAGTATGGGTTAATGCGCACTAGAAATATAAGCTTGGAATCTGCAAAGGTGCCTTTAGCGCCTAAAGATTAGATTCACTTGAACTATTGCAAGGCGTGCTATGCCAGTGCATGTTAATTGAAGACACTGCACAGCATAGAAGAACAGAAGCGTACATGGGTACATGCCTAATTCTAATCCTAGGTACCCACTACTCTGCGTCACTGCATCGGATGTGATGTGATGTCACTACAGCGTATGCGCCTGGGCTTTGCGTGTAAACAATGTAAGTGCGTCGAACTGCACCTAAAGAGTTTGGAACTATTAATTAAATGCGATTTTCCATTACATGTTAAGCTCATCTTTTCCTCCTAATCTGGTCCGGCGTCTGCAGATGCGTCTGTGCCCCCCGCAGCAGTCATGTCTTTTGCCGTCTTTCTCAGCCATTGCTTTGAGTGTGTAAACGTGCATATTGTTGCTGTAATTGCAAGATATTGAAACTTACGGGTTCCTCGAGTCACTTCCAAATAAAGTACACTTATTTTTCGTTTAAAAAAATTCAGCTATTTTTGCTTTTGTTTTTGGAATTGGAGATGGAAGGTAAACTGTGGATGACAGTGTCAGGTATCGATTATCGGCTTTGGATATCGATATTTGGCATTTTTTTTTTCCACGCTGACCGTATATGTCAGGTTAAATAACAGATATTTAAATTTAATATTCATTTATCTGTTTCCCCCTCGAGATTTAAAGTATGAATTTTTAGTCACAGAACTACCCAACATTTTCCCCTATACTTTTCTCCTACGAAATAAAGGTGCTCAACGTCCTTGGTGCTCATTCTTAATAATTTAATCACTATTTTTGTTGAATTACAAATTTGTGTGAAATTACACAGCTGGATCAGCAGATGGACTGCTTCTGCATAGTCTTATAAATATGTAGTTAGCTGCGAACATTGTTTCAAGGTTAAACTATCTCTCGGGCCCAGGCTGTTTGTGTATGAATATATAGGATATGGATAGATCTGACTTATAATATATTGGCGTCTTTCAGCCAATCAGCAAGGCACGGCATGCCATGATCTGTCTAAGCGCGCATACATATGTAGATGCTTGCGACTTTGTGAAGGTTATCAGTCCTTAAACCAGAAACAACACTGATAACCCTTGTGAATTGAATCGTTTGGCACGCGACCAGACGATGATAACAATAATAAAGATCGCATGTCCAGTGTACATTGAAACATCACGTACAAACAAAAATTCCAGTTATTCAGATATGTTTCAATTTCGATGGTATCCCACAGCGCTCTGGGAGAACCCCTGGTGTAGGAAAAGGCCATGGTGTAGAGGAGCCCAGAGGCAGGCGGTGTACCTGCACCAAATTTCATCATTCAACAAAATCATAGATTATTTATAAACATTTATTAATTCTTTTTCGTTCTTATACCGGACAATAACAAGGCCAGAGTTCACCAATTTTCTTGAGGACTTTGGCCAGGTATCATAATTGAGAAATGGCTTGACGTTGCCGTTGAAAGCTTGCTTGTTGATAAGTGGAAACCCCGGGCAAACTTATCTTTGCTTTCACTTTCCTATTAAATGGAATTTCTTTGGGGTCTGAATATGATTGCATGAGTAACAACAGATTAACACCTGGCCACTCGAATATTGCACTACAATTTAGATAAGCCAATGGAACTAATTATAGAAACAAACAGTATGTACAAAAATTCTTGCAATAAAAATGAAATAACAATAGCTACGAATATTCAAACCATGGCAGACAGCCTAGCAACTAATTTTAAAATTCATTCTTTTGCATAGCACTAGGCTCGGTAAGGGTTCAAATTTAAAAGAAATCTGGGTAGTTTCAATCTAATTGCATATTTATGCCTGCAATAAAAGTTTGATTGCGAATGAAAGCTAAGTGACAAGCACAAAGTTCGAAATGGAATAACATTCACCTTATTTACCTTTCAAAATCAAGTACATTTGAATCTTTTTACAATCTCCTTCAGATCAACAGAGCCAGCAGATCACGTATTCCAGTTTTCCATTGGACGTCAATTGGAAAAATTACAGACCCCAAATCAGATAATTGAGGAACGCGTGATGACAATTGTCGTCCCTTAGAGGGTAAATGTAAGTACTTGGTGGATGCGTCATAGCATGTTCGACAATGTTAATGGAGCGTGTCCGATTAGGTATTATTAATCTGTCCATTATCCTTCTAATCATTTATGTCATAGCTAAACCTTAGTACCCTCTGGGATTACAGCTAATTACAAAGTTTTGAACCTTAATAACAGCGTAATAATTCTCTTCTTCTTCTTCATTTCAAATTATCAAAATAAAAATATATGCAAAGCTTTGGAGGACAGTGTATGGCATTTTTGTTTGTTTACGAAAATTATTCTCAAGGTTTCACGTTTATTTGTTGAATGTTAATGAAATAAATCTACGAAAACAAAAATTAGCTGCCGCTACTATTGTATCAATGCAGAGCATACACACTTCTGCCCTGTGCTATGGCCAAAAACATCATACACCACGTGAAACTATATAGCAGATGCTCTGCATATGCGCCGCATCATGGCTATGTGGGACAATCGTATCTGGATTGTCCTTATGGTGGGCCTGCAAGCGACGGGCTGCGCGGTAATGTATGCTAGACAAGAAAAAAACAGTTCGCTTTCAGATTTCTAGATTTCTGTAGGGCTTTACCTTCTCGTGGTGGACATATTTAAATCATTGATGCCTTTTTAAAAATTGTCAAATTTTCAATGTTTTAATGCATTTAAGTCAGTATCCAAAAAATGTCGCAAGCAGCACCTGAGCAAGTTGGAGGGCCAGGAATGGAACCCAGGCAACGTCTGAAGAACTCAACACACCTGAAAGAGACTCTAAATGGTATATCTGCTCTGTTGCAAACCAATTTGTCGGAGGCAGCCCTTGAAATGTGTCTCGAACTGCTTGAGGATGGGGTCTGCCCCAAGGCCTTGGCTAACGTGGTCCTGCAGGCACGCGAGATCAATAAAGCAATGAATGATACCTAAATGTAAGCATGCTTTTTATATGCACGATTACAGCTAGACCCAAATTTTCCCAAACATTGTTTTTTTTTTTAATTTTCAAACTTTCCTACAGACAAGGCGATAGCCTTATCAGAAGCGTCCACCGCCACACCACAACTAGCAACTGCGCCGGCCGGCTGGCCGTCCGTTCGAAACACCACGTCACGAATCCCACGTAATCAGAAGCTTCTTTAGCCACAAATAAAAATCAGCTCTTTGATAAACAACATCAATTATATTTAGTATAATCGTTCATAACTCATTATCACACACCATCTATAAATGGCCAATTAGATTGTTAGCTGTTGATGATTAAGGAATAGAAGTTTTCGTAGTGCTGGCGGAGATTCACTCTGCCTTTTTATCAACAAAAAGTACATCTCTGGCATCTTCGGCGGTGAGATCCTTGTCGCCCCATCCCCACAGCTCGTGGGTGCCGTCGCCAGTGCGCTTCACACGCCTTTCAATGGTGTCGGGTGCCACGGACTTCAGATCATAGGCCCACCCAATCTTGGCAAACATATCAATAAATGCGGTGGTCATGTTCAGGTTATAGTTTCCCCATTCAGCCGTTTTGTAATCCCAGGGGAACACGTGATGATAGTTGTGCCAGCCCTCGCCGAAGGTGACGGCCGAAACAGTGGCATTCTGCGATGGATTGATGGTCCTATTGAGGAATATATAAATGTAATATTTACAAATCACCGACTTTCTATGTACACTTACTTGTCGTACGGACGACCACCGAATTTGTGTGCCGCACTGTTCACCAGCCAGGTCATATTCAGCTGGAAACACCAGCGGAACATGGTAGACACGAACCAGGAGCACAACAACGTCTCATTCCAACAGAATGCGGGAATGACGGTGGGCAGAATGAAGCAGGCAATTGGCATTAAGACGTAGTAGTGCCTAGAGTCGGAGAGGAACCATATTATAATACTTTTTCAGATTTTATGATTTTCCATACTCACTTCTTTTGGAACATCAAAATGCGATCGGCACGCAAATCGGACAAGTCCAGGCCTTTGCCCTTGGCCACCACATCGGGATGCTTCTTGCAGAGCAGCCAGCCGACATGCGAAAAGAAGAAGCCACGGGTGGCATTGTGCGGATCGGCATCCGTCTCCGAGAACTTGTGATGAACACGATGATCGCGCGCCCAGTGATAGGCGGCGTCCTGGAAGGCAATCGTATTGAAGGTGATCAATATTAAGCGCATCGGCCACTTGGCCTTGTAGGATCGATGGGCCCAGAGACGATGGGCGCCTCCCGTTATGCCCAACATGCCACAAACGTACAGGACGGCAGCTACAGAGAACAGTCGTGGGTTTAATTGCAAGTGGCATTAAGTTATTTTGAATACGCTTACAGAATAGCACGGTGGCTGCTTTGGCCTGGGTGATCATCAAATAGCCGCCATATAAGGCGGCAAAATGCACATAAGCAAAGAGAAGTATATTACGCCAGACCCACTGCAGCTGGCGGCTCTCGGCCTTTTTAAACTGGAAAGTATCGGTGGCCAGGTCGCCATCGGCTGTCTCCACATCGGCCTCAAACAGCACGCCCGTCTGCTTGGATGATTCGTCCTCCATAGTTGTCTCCTTTATCAGATCGGAATCGACGGGCACCTTTGGTAACGTGTCCGGCAGTCCTACGGCATTTGGTGGCATGTCGCCTTTGCTGTAATGAATAGACACCACATCACCTTTTATAATCTTTTTTTTCGTTATCGATTCGCAATTGAATATATTAAGTGTGGATTGCATTTTTGAAATGCATTCAGGTCGCATGTGCATGGTACATGTTACATATATATATACATACAAACGTATGTATGTGTAGAGGCTTTACTGAATCAAAATTTGATTAGAAAATAACACGAGCACAAAGACTGAACAGCCCAATATATAGTGTCATAGAGATCAGATTATAGATGCTAAATAGACTATGTTCCAGGTGGGCGCTCGCTCAGCTGTCTGTGAATAACTGATTTCAGGTACCGTTCTTTAGCAGTTTCAGCTTTTCAATAATTCGGAGAACAAGTTTTTCTTATTGGATTATCTTTAGTGTTAGTGCTAGCTGCGTTACAATTAAAATGACACGTACGTTTAAAATAGACAGAGGGCAAAAAAAAAAAAAATTTAACAGCCTGAATGGCAAATGAATTGGAATCGACTGCTCGAAACTGCACCGATTTCTTGTCTTTATACCCCAACTGCATATATATATACAATATGTATACATATACATTTGTGTAGTATGTGATTTCACAAATATCGGGGCTGATCGGGGCTTGATATCGATGTGGTTCTTTATATTCCGGAATTCGCCGAACATACTTGGAACAAAAACTCTTTTCGCGCGCTCTTTTAATTCAAAGTACGTATAAATTAAAGTTTAAAACAGGCGAACAGAAGTTAAATACATATGAATATACAAATGTATGTATGTTGAAGAATTGCCTTATCAACGGCATCATTTTGGAATATCACCTGATATTTTTAAAATAATTTTTCACTCCCGCAAGCGAAGATGGCTACTAAAACGCACGACTTTTTTATTATGCACAAATTTGTACTGTACCTGGATTATTCACTTTACTTTACTTTTATTTAATTAAATTTTAAGTGAGGCTCTGAGCGTGAACTTTCAAAGGTTTTTTGATCTGAGCGTTCCTTCCAACCGCTTTGTGCAGTGGCTGTCTTAGAACTGCTTCCAGGAGTATCAGTATCCCAGTACGACTTTCACGAGATTTATTTCACAGATTTCACTCGTTCCCCAAATGAATGTACTTCCCTATATGTACATATACATACATATGTGCATATGCATATGCATGTATTGGTATGATTGTTTTAGTTCTCACAATCTATAGAACTGAAAGGTACATTCGCTACACTCTTGATGCTGCGCATCCATGAATAATTGAACGACACAAATACGAGGAAGTTTGATAAGTCCGAGTCAGTTTTAGGTATACGAGTATATTTATGGCACATCTGCAGAAAGAGGTAAATGCTTTCCGAAGCGTTCTTCCACCAAGAATCAATCAACTACTGTTCCTTGTGCTCCCAGTACGTCCTACTCTTAAAGAAATTTACCGACTTAATTTCGGAGCTTATCACTCAAATATGACACAATTGCAATCATATAGATGACCAAATATCAACGATTTCCTATGAATTTTTAGAAACTTGCCCCCTCGCAACAAAAGAGGGCGCAAAGTTCAGAGGTACGAAGTCGGCAATAAACGGAACCGAATGGCATATGTCTAGAGTCTAGACACATGAAGTGAATCATCTGGTGGTTAGGTGGCAGATTGTTTAAAAATATTCATCATATTGATAACGCAAACATTCATCAGCCAAAGCATTCAGTAGTGAACAGAGCACGGACGCCTTTTGGGCGTCAGCTTAAAATTGTGTATTTGAATAAGTTAAGAGTGTTATGTACAAAACTATAGCATATGATGGTAAACAGTTAATTTGTTTAATTGTAAAGCGCAACTATGTTTCCTTTGGTTTTGCTTTAGATTCAATGCTCTGGTCCGTGCTGTCGGCTGGCTTTTCTTCAGTTTTTTTCGACTTTTTTTGAGCCTTTTCCGCCTGCTTTTGTTTCTCGGCCTCAACGCGGGCAGCCTCTTCATCTTGCTTTTGCTTCTCTTTGTGCGCAGCCGCAGCTGCCACCTCCTCATCATCCCAGTCGGCCATAGAGCGATCGCGCTTCAGCCACGAGTGTGTGGTGTCCGCCTGGAAGGCTGGAACCAAAATGTTATGAAATTATGCAAACAATTTACTGGTAAGTAACCTACTATGATTGAACCACTTGATTCCGTTTTGCATATCCTCGATTATCTCGCGCGACGTGTACATTACTTCGTTCTGCACTGCCTGATGGAACGTGGACGTCTCAAAGGCGCCTGAATACACCGAGTTACGATCATGATTTAAAGCGCGCTGCGGGAACTTTGCCAGGCACGTGGCCAGTTCCAGGGCATTGCCCAGTGCTGTGCCAGTGGGAACTATGCGATTTACCAGCCCAATATCGTGGGCCTCCTGCGAGCCCACCGGCCGACCCGTTAGTATTAAATCGAGCGCACGAGACAGGCCAATCATGGCTGGTAAACGGACAGTGCCACCATCCAGCATGGGAACTCCGAAGCGACGGTTGAAGAAACCCAGAACCGCCGACTCCTCCATTACGCGCAAGTCGCACATTAGTGCCAACTCCAGTCCATTGGCGATGCAGTAGCCATTGATGCCGCAGACGACCGGCTTTTTGATCTGGCGACGCGTGGGCCCAACTGAGCCTTCGGGACGCATAAGTATATCAACGCTGATCTCCTCCTTCTCATCCGTACTCATTTCCAGTATATCAAAGCCAGAGCAAAACGATCCGCCCACACCGTACAGGACGGCCACCGGCGAAGCGTCGTCCGCCTCGAAATTGGCAAACGCATCGCAAAGTTGCGCTGCGGTAATAGAGTCGATGGCATTGCGCTGCTGTGGTCGATTGATTCCAATCAGCGTAATGTTGTTGTCTTTTTCCACAAGAATATTCTTTGGCGGCCCCACAACAGCCTCCGTCTTAGCTGCAGCATCTGCAAAATCAGAGATATTCGTAAAAATGCAGCTTCCCATTATGTCATGGCGTGCTTGCTTACCTTTATGGAGTGCGTTTGTTGTGGCCAGCGTGCGGCATATTGCGAAACGTGCTTGCTGACCCACCTGCTGTCCCAGGAGTTTGCCAAATTTGCGCAGCATGTTCTATCGGAATGTGGCATTATAGGTTATATATATATGGCAACTTTTATTCTTCTGTACGTACCCGAAAATTAAATAAGTTTCTAAAAACAATTGTCTGGCTTTTTGGGAAAGCGTTTGCGCATTTTTGATTAAATATACCATACCATTAAATACCGACAAATTTAATAAATCTAAAGTTGGTATATTTTGAAATTGATAAGGTATTTTTCAGTATATTGGGCCACACTGATTGCTGTGTCATTCGTTTTGTTCCTGCAAAAAAAAGTGTCGGCATCTCTATTTTCTATATAAATTACTGCTATTTTGGCCTATAAATATGGCTAGTGAACGATACAGCTTTTCGCTGACCACCTTCAGGTAACTACGCCAATAAATTCATTGACAATTCGGCATTTTTGCCACCTAAACTTAACCTACAACAATGACTGGCATAAACACAACTTTTCGCTGCTTGCAGTCCTTCGGGAAAGCTGGTCCAGCTGGAGTATGCATTGGCGGCGGTATCCGGCGGCGCTCCCTCCGTGGGCATCATGGGTAAGACGTGATGCATTTCAATATTTTGCTCAGTGAACAGTATGAATCGTTATTCTCCTAGCTTCCAATGGCGTCGTCATTGCCACAGAGAACAAACACAAGTCGCCACTGTATGAGGAGCACAGTGTGCACCGCGTGGAGATGATAAACAAGCATATAGGCATGGTGTACTCCGGAATGGGTCCCGATTATCGCCTGCTTGTAAAGCAAGCCCGTAAAATCGCTCAGACCTATTTTCTGACTTACAAGGAGCCCATTCCCGTCTCACAGCTGGTGCAGCGCGTGGCCACCCTCATGCAGGAGTATACCCAATCCGGGTATGTACCGAAAAAAACCAAATAATTGTTTCGAGTATTTACTGTCTTAATTTTAGTGGCGTGCGTCCTTTTGGCGTATCTTTGCTGATTTGCGGCTGGGACAATGACCGTCCATATCTCTACCAGTCGGACCCTTCGGGCGCTTACTTTGCCTGGAAAGCCACTGCCATGGGCAAGAATGCAGTCAATGGCAAAACCTTCTTGGAGAAGCGGTAAGTGGGCCTTGCATGAAGAATGAATGTTTTATCCATCAAACATTTGTATTTCGCCTTGCAGTTACAGCGAAGATCTCGAGCTGGAAGACGCTGTTCACACAGCGATTCTGACTCTGAAGGAAGGATTTGAGGGTAAAATGACTGCGGACAACATTGAGATTGGAATCTGCGATCAGAAGGGATTCCAGCGTCTGGACCCTGCCTCCATCAAGGACTACTTGGCCAACATCCCCTAAGCGTTAGGCACCCCATAAAACGATGAAGAAACCCAAGCTAAGCTTTTTGTACGAGTTCGGGACATTAAAAAACAAATAAAATTAGAACTGTGGTGTTATTTGAAATGATTTGAGAAATACAAAATTATTTTATGGATTCAATTAATCCCCGATGGCCTGAACATATCCTGCACATGTATCTGGATCAAACAGGAACAAGTTACGATGGGGGGCCTCCATTCTGGTCACCACTTTAATGATCTCCTGCGCAACAACGCCACCCACCACAGCGACTGCTGGGGAGATCTGGGCAAAGAGAACCTCCAAAGAGCTGTCTTTTAGTGCAGAGTTTGGAGCCAGTTCATCTCGAATGGCTTGAAGTAAGCCAATATCAGCATTCCTGGTCTTGTAGCTGGGGTCGCGATTGTGTGTGGTGCGGAACTTTTGAAGAACGCCTAGCAGGACCACGCCAGGTCCGTTCTTTTTCAACTGGCGCTGGTAGGCGGTGGCGTTAACATCGAAATCAATCCAAGCCGAGTATGCGGGATAATTCATTTCGCGCTGAACCGGAACAGCCACTTTTTCGAACTTTGCCTTCTGGTTAGGCTTGGCTTCCGCTTCTTTGTATTTGACAACATCCCTGAAAGCATTAAGGTTGGAGAATGAGGCCTTTAAATACATTTTGTGAACCAAGGAAACATACTCGACGTAGCTATGTTGCCGGAGACTCGCAAAGTAGAATCCAAACATTCCCCATACATCACTGGCGAAGAACTTGACACCCAACTCTTGGCAAAGGGCATCGATTCGCTGCAATTCATTATTGCTCTGTCCAATGATCAACACCACGTCAAATGCACCAAAGAACTTGGCCGTCTTCTCCTTCAGCGGTTGAGTATCGGCAGAGATATCCACCATGGGATTGAGAGCTTTGGCACGCTCCAAAGATGCCTCAGCTCGGTTCTTGCCCAGAGATTCGCGTGCAGCAAGGAACTGAGAGCAGTAGTCCTCCTCAGTGACCACCTGGTCGTCGTGCAGCTTTACAGAGTGGACTCCAGACAGAATAATGTTCTTTGTAACCTCAGCACCCAAGCCATTCAACCCTGAGATGAGTATCTTTGCAGTGCGTAGGCTGGAAACACAAAACCAAATTTTTTTATTCTGCCGCATTGCATTGCACTTTGCCGGCCGTTCAGCCGGCATTTGCACCCACTCACCGCTTTTGCGACTCCAGGCCCCAAAGTCGAATTTGCCTGTCATAAAGCTCGGTCTCAGCCTCAGTGAGCTCTACGCCAGTTTCCTTATTTTCCACTTCGAAACCCATTATAATATTTCAATTAAATTAAGTTCAGAAAATTCGCAAATGGACGCTGCGTCAAACCGTGACGATAACGATAAAAAATACCATCCAGCCAAAATATAAATACCATTAAATACCATTTCAGTTTCGAGAAATTGACTTAACCCACTTAACACCCCTCTATATAAAAAGTAGAGCACCCTTTGTTAAACCGCGGAAAATAATACTGTTTGTAAAGGCTCCTTGTAGGTCCATCCTCCACTCTACGCACAAGACAAAAATGGCCACCGACATCTTTCACCTGTAATGCGTAAAATATGTTAAAATTACATAAATTTCGTGGAAATATTAACGCCCCCCTGGTCGACAATGTGATAACGAACAAATAAAGTGACCAAGTGGAAAAATACCATTATATACCAAGAAGTTGTTCAGTATATACCATGATAAAATAAAACACTTTTTGCTCAATTTTGGGATTAAAAAATACCATAAATAAATTTGTCACTCTGGTCACACGCACTACTGTCAACCCCTGTCGGCATCGCTCTGTCGTTGCAAAAAAGAATTTAAAATGCATTTTCCGAGGAATATTGTGCGCGGATCGCTTCGCGGCGGGCGGCCCATGCGTGGGGGCATACGTCCGCCATTTAAGAAAACATTTGTTCCTCGCCATCCATTCGACTTGACGCTGGCCGAGGTCTTTTTCCCCAAAGTAGCCGCGACGGTAGATGATTCTGCGCTGACTGCGGTAAATCAATACACCCACACAGACACATGTATGTACAACCATTCAAAATCCATGTTTCTCACTCCAGGCCTTGCTGAAGCGTAACCAGGACTTGAGCCCCACTGCCACCGAAATGACAGCAATTGGTAATTTGGTAACCAAAGTTCAGGCTGTCCTGGATAACCTTGTTGTTGCCCCTGGCGATTTCAATACATGTGTAAGTTAATGCGAAACCGGATGCAAAGCAAGATTCTTAAGGTCTCTTTTTGTAACAGCAACTGGAAGAGGTGCGCCAAGTGGGGTCCTTCAAGAAGGGTACCATTCTCACCGGTAACAATGTGGCTGACATTGTGGTCATCTTGAAGACGTTGCCAACGAAGGAGGCGGTCGAGGCTCTGTCGAAAAAGGTGGAGGCCGACCTGAAGACAAGCATGAAGACTGAAGTGCTTACCAAGGGGGACCAACACACAATTCAGACGCACTTGCGAGGCTTTGATGTGTCCAATGTCCAGGCCAAGGTGCGCATTATGATTGCCACTTTGCCGCAGAACTTGCGCAAGCTGGAGGCGGACATACATATGGACCACAAGCTGATGCAGAACCATCTGGCTGCTATCCGGCATACTCGTTGGTTCGAGGAGAATGCCCACCACTCGTCAATTAAAGTCCTCATACGCATTCTCAAGGATCTCACCAAGCGTTTTGACGCCTTCTCCCCGCTCTCCGCTTGGATGCTCGACTTGATAGCTCACTTGGCAATTATGAACAATCCATCGCGCCAGGCTCTACCCATTAATCTGGCCTTCCGTCGCGTTTTCCAACTGCTCTCCGCTGGACTGTTCCTGCCCGGGTCGGCAGGCATTACTGATCCAACAGAGCCTGGACACATACGTGTCCACACTGCAATGACATTGGAACAGCAGGACCTCTGCTGCTACACTGCCCAGACTTTGCTACGTGTTTTGACTCATGGCGGCTACAAGCACATTCTCGGCTTGGAGGGAAACACCAGCATAGTACGCGAAATGTCAGTGTGGAATGGAGTGTGCGTGTCACCCCTGACTGCCGTTTATGAGAAGCCAACGGACAAGAAAGAGGGCGATCTGGAGGAGGACATTGAGATGATCGAAAATGAGAACGAGGATGAAGGCAGCGAGGATGGAGCCGAATAGAGCAGCGAATATGACTAGTTTTTAGACATGTATTTAAAAATTGCACACGCTTTATTGTGTGCTAGAGTATTGACTTAAAACTTTACTATGTTCCCGGTTATGGGTTCATCCTCATAGACACTGTTTGTTAATTCCTTGCCGACTATGTCAAAATATTCCTCGGCATGTAGGCCGTTGGGCTCACTAACTTTGATGGCCACATCGGTCAATTGAAGCTTGAGGCCTTTGTGAAGGGTCCGAGCAGCTACAAGAGATTTTCCGAGCTTATTTCGACATGGCAACTCGCATGGCAAAATCTTTTTTTCGCCACTGTATTGAAGTGCTTCTTCCAGTTCCTGATCGCCACCCAGCATTGAAATTATTCCATCTGCCTCTAAGGGTAGTTGCTTGAGTTTAAACCTTTGAATTGCCACGATCAGAGATTCAAATTCAAGCGGTTCAAGTGAGCAACGATGGTCGGAACCCTTTTGATTCTTGTCTAGGGTGAAATGGCGCTCTACTATCCTGGCGCCCAGCAAGACAGCTGCCTGGGTAATGGCTATACCAAGCTCATGTCCGGAATAGCCAATGACTACATTGGGAAAGCGATGCTTCAACATGGAAATCAAGCGCAAATTGCAATCTTTGGGTGCTGTTGGGTATGCAGAGACACAATGCATGAGTGCATAGTCCAATTTTCCAGCGTCCTCCATTATGTTGACAATTTTGTCAACCGTTTGGATTGTCTGCATTCCTGTTGAGATGACTAAAGGTATTCCAAGGCCAGCTGCCTTTTTTAAAAGCGGAAAGTTATTGGCATCTCCGGATCCAATTTTAATGAACGGTACCTTTAGGTCTGCCAGAAAGTCCAACGAGAGCTGTAACAAGGGGAAGAACTATAAGAGATATACGTATATATGGCAGTATTATTTACCCCATCCATTGCCGATGCAGTGAAATCGACATTTAGCTGACGACTGTACGCCTGCAAGTCTTGGTACTGCTCTCTGGTGAACTCAAGATATTCCTTGTGCTCTCCATATGTCTTGCCCCAAGCATTTTCGCTCACGTACTCGCGAGCCAGGGCGGACCGTGTAAATTTAGCTGATAAATCCGATTTTTGAAATTTCACACAATGGCATCCTGCTTTTTTTGCCTCTAGTATCATCCTTTTGGCCACTTCTAGGCATCCCTGATGATTTTGTCCAATTTCAGCTATTATGTAGACAGCATCATCTATCTTTTTCTCTAAAATGTCCAGTAACATCATTGCGGAATCAGCTTAATTGGACAGCTAATTGAAATAAAGTGGGGCGTGGGGCCAATCAAGTTTCGCGGGCAGTCGACTTTCGACAATTATCGAACTATTGTTCGATATGATAAAATGGCGTCTGTTCACCCTTATTCACTGATGTGGCAACGATCGAGCAGTGAACACTCCTCGTCCTGCTCACACCAATGAGCATAAGTGCGACATGGATGTGGAAACGAGACAACATGCGTATGCAGCATGACTAACTACTCGTTTCGCTCCTTCCTAGTTAGCAAGTGTGGACACACTGGAGAAATTTTCATACGCTCCAATTGGATTTATAATTCCAATACAGTTTGTGCACAATTGGGAAAAATCCCATACCGTTAGTGTACAATTGGGAAAAATCCCATACCGTTTGTGCACAATTGTGAAAAATCCCATACCGTTTGACCGCAGTTGGGAAAAATCCCATACCGTTTGTCGGCCATTGGGAAATATCGAATTGGAAATAACAACAAAACATTACGTATCAGCAGCAATTGTGAAAATCCGCTGACAAATCCGATTTTTGAAATTTCACACAATGGCATCCGGCTTTTTTTGCCTCCAGTATCATCCTGTTGGCCACTTCCAGGCATCCCTGATGATTTTGTCCAATTTCATCTATTATGTAGACAGCATCATCTATCTTATTCTCCAAAATATCCAGTAATATCATTGCGGAATCCGCTTAATTAGACAGCTAATTGTAATAAAGTGGGGCGTGGGGACAATCAAGTTTCGCGGGCAGTCGGCTTTCGACTATTATCGAACTATTGTTCGATATGATAAAATGGCGTCTGTTCACCTTTATTCACTGATGTGGCATCGCTCGAGCAGTGAACACTGGTCGTCCTGCTCACACCAATGAGCATAATACGACGCAAAAGTGCGACATGGATGTGGAAGCGAGACAACATGCGTATCCAGCATGACTAACTATTCGTTTCGCTCCTTCCTAGTTAGCAAGTGTGGACACACTGGAGAAATTTTAGCTGTGAAAAGTATTTTGCGGAAATAGATTTGAAAAATTCAATATTTCGAAGCTATTTCGGCGCTACTATCCATCGTTTGTAGCATACTCAGGAGCAGCGCAACAATATAAAACAGAAAAATGGCCGATGTCATGAATATCGACAGCATAATATCACGTCTTCTGGAGGTGCGTGGGGCACGGCCAGGCAAAAACGTTCAGCTCTCTGAGGGCGAAATTCGTGGGCTGTGCCTGAAGTCGCGCGAGATATTCCTCTCGCAGCCCATTCTGCTGGAGTTGGAGGCCCCGCTGAAGATTTGCGGCGATATTCACGGTCAATATTACGACTTGCTGCGACTGTTCGAATATGGTGGCTTTCCGCCGGAGTCAAATTACTTGTTTTTGGGCGACTACGTTGACCGTGGCAAACAATCGCTGGAAACCATCTGTCTGCTTCTGGCCTATAAGATCAAATATTCGGAGAACTTCTTCTTGCTGCGCGGCAACCATGAGTGCGCCAGCATAAACCGCATCTATGGCTTCTACGACGAGTGCAAGCGCCGCTACAGCATCAAGCTTTGGAAGACCTTTACGGACTGCTTCAATTGTCTTCCCGTGGCGGCCATTGTTGACGAGAAGATCTTCTGTTGCCATGGCGGTCTGAGCCCGGATTTGACTTCGATGGAGCAAATCCGACGCATTATGCGCCCCACCGACGTCCCGGATCAGGGTCTGCTCTGCGATCTGCTGTGGTCCGATCCGGACAAGGACACCATGGGATGGGGAGAGAACGATCGCGGCGTGAGCTTCACATTCGGAGCCGAAGTGGTGGCTAAATTCTTGCAGAAGCACGAGTTCGATCTCATCTGCCGTGCCCATCAGGTGGTCGAGGATGGCTACGAGTTCTTTGCGAAGAGACAACTGGTCACCCTGTTCTCGGCACCCAACTACTGCGGTGAATTCGACAATGCTGGCGCCATGATGTCCGTGGACGACACACTGATGTGCTCGTTCCAGATCTTGAAGCCAGCAGACAAACGTAAAAAGTAATATCATTTAAACCCAAAAAATCCTTTTCTATACAAAAAACAAAAGAAACAACCCAAGAGAAAATAAAAATGCTTAGAACACATCGGATCGTGGATTGAACGTAAGTGGGTAGAAACAGAACAGAACCCTATTGTGCGTCACCTCTGAACACACTTATCTCTATCTTGGTCATTTTATCGACAGCAGGCCAAGTCGAATTCTACAAACAACAACTACATACCAACACACCTGCTGAGGGAAAGCGCCCCTCCTAGCATCGAACACCCACACATAAAAACAAAGTCCAATTAAAAGCAAACATATTTATTTTAAAAATCCAATCCCATATGCATATATATATCGGGAGCAGACGTTTCACTTACGTTTATACACACACATGCAGATATAACACTAGGTAAACAGGTTCGAAGAGGAGCAGAGGAGAGCACCCAGCAAAAATAGGAACATATTTGACATAGAAATACGGAAAAAACGGCTGGAATTCAGTTGGTCGGAAGAAAAACATATACATAGAAAAGGGGCCCCTGTAAAGCTCTTTGGCCTTAAAACATTAAACAAAAGAAGAAAAAAATTGAAAAAAGGGAAAATGATAAAAAAAGAGAAGAACGCTTGCCAAGAAAGTGAAACGAAAACACTTAGTTTTTGACCTTCAAATTGAAACAAGAAAATCAGTTTTTTTTTTTCGTCCACCACCCCTGCAGCATGATGAAATGATAAGGGACGCCGCCATGCACTACGACGTCAATACAAAATCAATAAAAATTATTTTGCATCTACTTCCGTTCGCCCCCTCAGTGTTTTTGCTGCAGTCCAACACGAACCATTCTCTTATCATTTTAAAGATGTGTTTTTTAAAATTAACTATTATTAATATGTATTATGAAACCGATTTCAATAAATATTTGAAAAATCCATAAAATAAGATTGTCGTGAGTGCTGTTAATGTTGTAGTTTATTTACATTTAAGAAAATACTTAAACATTCTAAATGGATGATTTCACATGGAATGTGTTTTAGTTTAATGAGAGTCAGAGTCGATTTACTCGGTATTGTCGGTGGAGCTACTGGCTTCAGCCTGGACGGATGGGCTTTGTGTTGAACTATCATTTGCAGCTTCTGCGACAGCAGCTACAATTTTTTCCTCGATCTGACAAACTTCCACAGCGGCAGCCAGCTGCTCAACGCTGTTGCTCACAGCTGCAGCTTCAGCTTCTTCAGCTACAGCGTTTACCTCTGCCAAAACCGGCTGGCCACCATGGGCTGCTTCCACGTTCTCAACAGGAGCCTCAATTTTGGCCGCATTTTGGAGCTCAGAGTCGTCAGAGAGGAGCTCGCTCGAATTGAGGGACGCCTGGCCCGCCAGAGCCTCCGGGTCAATGTTGTTAATAATGCCGCGCAAGCGTTGTATTTCCTCGTTGGCAGACTGCAATTGCTGCTGAAGGCGCTCGTACTTGTCATGCTGATGGCGGACAGCACCAATGTTGTTGCGTATGTACTCCATTGGATTTTCAGGCCGCTCTTTTATGACGCGTATAAAGACTTTGGTGAGCGAGTCCAGAACGCTGCCGCGCTCCAGATAGCGACGGATCTCATCACGTTTTGGGTCAATTGGCTGTAGGACACAAATCGATTTAATAATACAGAAATTTTAATTTAAATTAACTAACCTTAAAGGACATCTTGGAAAAGAAACAACCAATCAGTGAGACCGCGTATCGATAAAATATACCGACTGACCCTCAGATATACCTAATATACCCTCTCATTTTTATAATATACCGTAAATATACCGAAGAAACACAAGGACTTAGCCCACTTAACCCCCCGCTATTTAAACAGTGAAAAACCTTCAATTAAGCCGAGGAAAATAACACTGTTTGTATATTCTGCTTGTATATACATCTTCCCTCCTTACTTACAAGAAAATATTACCACGATATCTTTTACATGAAATGAGTAAAAAATGTTTCAAGTTTCATAATATTCGTGCGCAAATAAAAATACCCACTGGTCGACAATGGGCTAATAGGTGTATGTTCATGATCGGCATTCATATTCCTAGATTTTGAAATTCGTTTACATATTATCAGCCAGCTAGGACTCTCAGCACTGAACATATAATTTTATCCTATTGACGAGTCAATTTTGTACGAGATTATTCCCTTTTAAGGACTCTATTTATTGGGTTGTTGGTAAAACATAACATGAATGATGGATTCTTATTTTTGGGTTTCAAGTTTTGTACATTTTCAGTGCTGTAAGTTACCTAAATTTACGATTTTTGTACACAAAAATCCGTTACTTGCTATTTCTAGATATTTATATTAATTCAAATTTTAATATTTGTCCGGCACTAAGAGCTTTTCCTATTAAATAGCTTTATCATATCTTTGAATTCCGCGCCTATTTATGTCTGCGCATGTCAAAAATTCGTATATACATATGTACCTACGCAACTATTTTAGTACAATTGGATACATTACTGGAAAAACTGTTTTGCAAGAGGTCCAACTATCTTAAAATGAATTCATTTGAAAACACCTTTTTCCGTGGTCCATCGCCATCTTACTCTGACGACGCAAACTCTGAAAATGCATTGTCGCTGACACTGCCCATTGGCTACACATCAGGAGCTGAGGAGAATGACTTTTGCCATGACGACTCCAAGACGGACCCCGTGGACTACTTTGACGAGAAATTCGACAGTGATAGCTGCTCGCGCTTGCACCCTGGTCAGCATGGGCGCAACTCTTTCGCTTTCTGGACCATTGTGATCATTCTACTGGCCCTGACTGTGGGCAATCTGATTCTTACGCTGACAATTGTGGGTGTCCTGCGCCTGGGGAAGGGTGTACAAGGTATGGAGCTGATCCCCGAAGTGGATGTCGTCAAGTTCTATGGCTCAACCGAAGTGGAGCGCCTTCATACCAACTCAATTGGTCAGTTACATGGCTTCACGGATGTGCCAGTGACCATCAGTAGTGATGGCAGCAACGACGAAAATCCGAATGCGGGCGTACATGTGCGCGTTTTCCGCAATGGAAATGGTGCCTCTAGCGAGCGCGATCGTGACCGCATCGTGGTCGACAAGGATGCCATTCTCATAGATGCCACAAATGTGTTTGATGTGAAAGACCCCGTCGATCGACAATCCATTTTTAGCACTCATCGTCCCCAGTACAACATCCCGGCTGGTGTGGCTGCTCTGCAGGCCAAGGTGGTGAGCGCCAGCGGCATATCCAGTCCCATAGACGTGCCCTTGAACTTGGAGAGCGATGGCCGCATTGTCATTAAGGGGTCAGAGGGTGTGTTCTTCGATGCCGCCAGTATTGATCTACAAGCCGAGCATCATATCTCCATCAACTCCACCCAAGGCGCCACTGTGCTCGAGGCTGGAACTGGCATATTCCTGGACATGGACCGCATACCCGTTGTCAGTTCCGAGATGGGCATTCGCACGGGCAGTGTGCAGTACAAGATATGCGTCTGCATGCCACAGGGTACTCTTTTCCGCATAGCCATTCCACGTATCCACAACGGACCGAAGATATCGTGCGCCCATTTCAGTAGCCAGGACGATCCATGTGAGGTCAATTAATTAGTTGAATTTATTCGAAGCTTATATGTAATCCCAGTAATACAGTTAAATACAACTATTCATATATGTACGTATCCCTAAAACAAATGTTACTTAACAGTTTTTGTTTTTATTTTCGAGGAAATGTACTTTACTTTGAAAGGGAGAAAAAGGAGTTGGATTAGCTTATGAAAACCGATTTCGATTCCTAGCTATCATAATGTTTTTTGGACTGTTAAGGACAGGTAGGGTAGTAATAATAGTTCCAATTGCTGGTTATGTATAATACAGAAATGGTTTTCAAATCGCTGCTGTATGAGAATGTACACATGAATGGGTTGGGGCCAGGGCAGGGACGGGCAGGGGGGCGAGCAACGAAAGATATAATTTCAAATAAAAATGTTGAACTCTATTCCGAAACTAACAACAAATACTCGTACAAGAATTCGCGGCTAAAACTACGCTAAAAATAATTTCGAACGCATCCCTAAGTATTCGGCGGTGGGGGATTCTGTAGTCGGATCTTAGACGTTTTTGTGGGCACCATATCTACCAGATTGTCCGGCACCATGCTAAGAAGCTCAGCTTCACTTAGATGCGCCAAACGGCCTTTGCTCTTGGTCGTTGTTGCTAAAATAAATTCATGAAACTCATCCGTTGGTGTCGTGGGTTTTCGTAACCTTACCCGTTGCATATGGCCTAGTCGTGGTTATTGCGTCCTCGGGATTGTATTCCTCACTATCGACAACAATCGCCGCCGCAGCGTCCGTTTTGTCCTTAATGCTAGCCAGGATCTTTGAAAGATTTGGTGGAATCGAAATTCTGGATAGGGCGGATCCCTGCGAAAAAAATAAGCCCCAAATGAGCATAATTGTGAGGGCACGACAATCTCAGTGAATATCTTACAGAAGGTTCCACATTGAGTAGGTCGGCAATTTGCAATTGTTGTACAGCGATTTGTTTGTTTATTTCATCCACCTGACGCGCCAGACTGTTTTTATTTATGGAAGTTGGCGTCGTAGCACATTCATCGCTGGAACTGCCGCCTGGCGAATACGGCTCATCGGCATCATCTATTAGCGCTGGCATTACTGGCATTGGCACTGCTGGCACAGTGGTGGCTACAGTGAGAGATTTCAGGTAAGTAAAGGTTCCAAATGGACACACAGTGTGTTGTTGCTGCGCTTACTCTTCCGCATGTTTGCAATGGGCGCCTTGATGATGGCATCAATATCGAACTCGTCGTCCTTAGAGCTGGTCGAGTGGTTGCTTGGCTTGCGTTTGGGACTGATTGGCGGAGTAAATGACGTCGTGCTGCGTGACTTCTGTAATATAAAATGGGTAAAATAACCTCCCATCAACATTGGGTACTCCATATTGCTTACCTTTGCTACCTTGCTGCTGCTGCTGGCCGTGGGAAAAGATTGCCCCACTGGCAAAGATGTGGGCAGACAGTGCACTATAATCCCCATCAGTGTGTTGGGCCTCTGCGTGTCCTCGTAGAAGGGTAAAAGCTCTGTGGCATGGGCAAGCACACTGGGCAATTTATCCTTTGATCCCAACGGAAAGATGTAAAAGTCTCGAATTTTATCTGCTTCAGCCTCGATCACGCCCAACCGTTGACGCGAGTCAAGATATTCAAAGAAGTGATCAAATTTTTGAATTTCAGTCGGTCCGGATGGAAACAGATTTACTAGGACAACCTCTTTGGTTGGAATCTTATTGATCTTCTTGATGTACTCCCAGACATTGAAGCGGGCTATGCGGCCAATCACATCCAATTTGACGGGCAGCAGCTTGGGCAGTTGATGCGAATTGCTGAGAAGTGGGTGTGCCACCACCTGGAAGTTGGCCACATCCGTCATGTTGAGGGTGCCGGACCACAGCGTTCGCTTGGGCAGACCTTGCAAATAGCGAGTGTAGCTGTCCAGCGGAGAAGCTGGCGCGGCTACAGCCTTTGCAGAGACTACCGTTGGGGGAATAGTCTTGACAACAGTCTGCTGCTTAGGAGACTGTTCTAAATTTGCCGCCTGCTCTACAGTTTTTTCAGATTCCAGAATTTGATCAATCAGGTTATAGGCATGGCGATTGCCTCTGCCTGACACTGACACTGATGCCTCCTCTGGCTTCTTTTCTGGAACATTTCTAGGTAAGGATGTTCGGTCATTCTCCTCCCTTTTTTTGACTGGCGATGGAATATGTTCGTCTCGATCCTTACTACGCTGACTCTCGTGATGACGGTTTGGTGTTCGTTCCCCTCCAGTCTCCACATCATTGTGGTGCCTTCGGTGTCGCTTCTCAAGGCTGCGCGTTTGACTACTCGATCGACTGCGACTTCTCTTGTGCTGATGATGGCGCTTACGGCTCTTGTGTCGCTTCTCCTTGGATGATCCGGACTTTTCCCTAGAGCTGGACTGCTCTAGGCTGATATCCTTGCTGGAACTATCGGGGTCGCTCACCTGAGAGGTGTGCTTTTTGTCCAGGATCGACTCGTCGGGCAGTGTTACATCCACCTTGGCGGCAATCACTTGCTCCCCCTTGTGGGTCTTCACCACATAGTTCTGCGTACAGGACAACATGTCCAGCTCGGATTTTTTAATGATCTCCAGCTGGTGACGGGTCTCCTCCTCCCGCCACTTGGCAAGCTCTTGGCTGGCCAGCTCCTCGGGCGTCATGGCCACGAGTTGCTTGGGCTCCACCTGCTTGGCACAGATCTTTTCGAACAGCGTCTTGTTCTTGCGATCCTTGATGTTGAACATGAGTGAGCGATATTTCGATTTGTATTTGGCACCCACATCGCAGCCAAACGAATGATACATTTCCGATTCCACATTCTTGACGAACTGCTCCGCCTCGATGGACGTTAGCCATTGCGTGGCAGCGCTCGAGCTCGTGCTCTGCTCTGCATCTTGTGCCTCCTTAATGCGCGCCAGCAGCTGCTCCTTGAGCGTGCGTCGCACATTCAGCCGTATTGGCTCGGGCTTGTTGGGAGATCGTGGCGCGACGACATTGGCAAGCGCTTTGTTGTCTCTTTTGGGCAGGGCGTTAATGGGAGGGGTGACTACTCGCAGCAGCTGCTGTGGGACTTTCGTTGCACTTGTTGAGGGTTTAGCTGCTGCTGCTGACGTCTCGGGTGTCGATGGCAGGTCCGGAATCCGGTTAAGCTGACGCTTCTAGGGAAATTCATATGTGTGTGAACAATTGAATATTGTGAATATTAATAATTAATTATGCTTACGTCTGTGTCTAGGGACTGAAAACTACCCGACGGCAGAACCTCAAAGGTGGGATTGTCTTGGAGCCATTTTCTGAAATGATGTGCGATGGGTGCCAAGTGGCCAGTGATGACACGTCCACTCTTACGCTCAATAACATTTATCTGAAAAATGTACAATTTGTTTAGTCTGATGGTATCGAGTCGCCTGCTTGCAGCTGCTTTTGTACCCGCTCAATTTTCGACACAGCGTCCGCCTGACGCAAAACATCCTCAAACAGATCCTTCTTTTTGTGCCTCTTGGCTGATTCAGTGCAGTTTGCCAGATTTGTTTGCGCTGTTTGCATGTCCGCCGCCGTCTGCGGCACTGGACTGTCGGGACTCTTGGCAGTCGTCTGGGCCTGGATGGCGTTTTGTGCATATTTTCGTATGCACTCATCGCTACAGTACACCGACTTTGTGCTAGCTGTCGGGCGCCGGCACACCACACAATTGTTGTCTGGAGTGCGGCCACTGGTCACTCCTACTTTGACAAAACTTAGCTGCTGCTGAAGCATCATTTTACCGGGCAACTGTTGATTGGTTGGCAATCTCTTGACCCCAGAACTACGCATGGGCGAACTGGCGACACTAACTCCCATCGGCTGGGGGCAACAGACTCTGCTGGAGACGTTAAAACTTTGGTTTCGCTTGGGGTTTCCGCTGTTTGAATGGCTGGCCTCATGACCATCATTTCCGTAATCCTTGGTTGGTTCTATGGAATGCAACGATCAGCGAATCATTAATGGAAAATGTAATTCATTTTGGCATACCTTTTCCTCCTGCTTTTTAACACATTTTGGACACTTCCAGATAACGCTTTTTGCCTCCATCTCAATGCCCATGGACTTGGTTACACCGACACAAGTGCCGTGAAACCAGTCCTCACATACATCACAGCAAATCATGAAGCGATTATTGTGGGGCTGACGGCAAATGCACCAAAGCCTAAGAGCAGAGCAGACAAATATTTAACTTGATTTTTGATTAATTTTGATCATTTGCTTACTTGTTCGGGTCATCGTCATCCTCCTGTGATTCTGAGGCTTCGGTGTCATTCGACTGGCTCTTCTTCGTTCTTCTGGGCTCAGTCGAGCGTCTGGCCAGGGATGGCTCCCTCGGATTGGCACGCTTTGGCACTGCTCCAGGCTTCTGAGATATCTGGCTGTCGGTGCTGAAGCTGCTGCTATCCATCGTGGGTTCCCCAATCGAAACACTGCTCATATTCAGATCCCCAGAGCTTGTGGCAGCTGCACTTGTTGGTGTGAATTGTGCGCGACGCTTCGCACGTGTTGTTGGGGCTTCTATGGGGGGCAGGTAAATCACTCGTCCATTGCCACGCACAACCTTACCCTCGGGCCGCATTTGGGCGACTGATGCTGCCACTGGAGCTGCTCCTATGCTGCCCCTCGATGGTGTGCTGCAGGCCATTGGCATAGAGGATAGCAGAGTGCTGTGCTCAGAGAGAATTGAAGGATGTGGCTGGAAGGGATTAAGAGTTAAGGGCAAGTCCAAAAAGTATGCAAATTAGATACACATACCTCAGAAGACGACGCATGCAGGACCAGGGTATCAACGGTGGGAGGCAGAGACACAATGGCATCTAAACTTCCAGGGTCGCTGCTGGCCAGCACTTGCTTCACCACCTCAGCCTCAAACTGCTTATCCTCCTCGATCAGACCAACCACATGCTGTAGGAAATCGGCAGTGATCTCATCTTCGTCTGGAGTATTCAACAGGCGGGCAGTGTCCAGGTCAATGGTATCATTATCATCCACTGGAATAGCATTATTCACTGAGCTCTGGATGACCACCGGATGACCAAAATCCGTAAAGATTTCGTTTTGTTTTACGGCTGGCATTGCTACTGATGCGGCGGCTGCTGCTGCTGCTGCCACTGGTCCCTGATCCAATACCGATGCCGTACTCTCCAGCATCTTGACAAGTTTCGGTATATTTTCATCCGCATTGACGACTGCTGGCTGCTCGACGAGCGTCGTCTTGAGCAATTCATCTTTTACTATCGAATCGATGAGGTCCAGTTGCTTGTCATTTTCGGCTGCCAGTTCGGAGGAACTCTGATGCGTTTCGATCACGATCTGTGAGGGCAGCTTATGAGATTGGGCCGTCTCTACTCCGATGGGCATGAAACCCTTGGCTGGGACCGGACCGGAACCGGCACTGAAACCGGCACTTGCTGCACACTTGCCGCATAACTGGACCGCGAAGTGACAGGCGACATGATTGGACGCAGCCTGTGTGGATCGGGCGAGGATTTGATGTTCGCAGTGTGGTTTTCGCCCAGCAAACTGTTCAGATTGGTAAAAACTCCCTTGGGGCTAGACGTATTCTTGTTGATTATAATTTCTTTCACGTCCTGAGGAGGCGGGGTACTGAAGACACCAGGCGCTGAAGTATTTAGCACTTTTCCCACTTGAACCAGAGGAGTCCGACGTACCTTGCCCCCAGTAGAGGCTAGTCCGAGCGCTTCGGTAGACATCGGTGTTTTCCTAATGGCTAGCGCCTGATGGGTAGGACGTATTTTAAGGAATGAGGTGCTTGGAATTCCTCTTCCCAATGCAATTACAGTGGGCGGCGCCTTTGTGGTTGGCAGTTGAATAATCTGACCAATCTGCGGGGCACCCTGCGGCACTTGTTCCCTACGCTGCGGTGGAGTCGGCTGCTTTTGTTCCTTGCGCTGAGGGACAGTCTGTGGCACTAGCTCCTTACGCTGCAGGACTACCTCCTTACGCTGCGGCGTAGTCTGTGGCACTAGCTCTCTTCGCTGCGCGGGATTCTGTGGTATTGGTTCCTTACGCGGCAGGACAGCCTGTGGCATTGGCTCCCTACGTTGCGTGGGAGTTTGTGGCATTTGCTCCCTACGTTGTGGGACACTCTGTGGCATTTGCTCCCTACGCTGAGGGGAAATTTGTGGCATTTGCTCCCTACCCCGGGGGGCACTCTGAGCCACTTGCTCCCTACGCGGTAGCACTTGGTCCTTCCGCCGTTTCAGCTCGGGGAACTGCTGTGGTGTAGGAGGATGTGAGGGTAAGGGTTTCGACTGCCTAGTCGGCCTACTGCTTATCTTTCTCGCCCGCTTTCGTTTGTTGGAGCTGCGGCTGTCGTGCCTCATCTTGAAGTCCATATCACTGTCCCTGTCATTGTCGGTGTCCTGCAGATCGTCGCTCTCCTCGCTCAACTCGTCGCTTTCGTACAATTTGTCGGCATTCTCGTCATCTGCGGCATCCGAGCTATCTGCTTCCTCATCATCGTCAATGTGGTCGTCTACGGGAGGCATTACTTTGATGAGGCTACGCCCAGACCTTGGCCTGACACTTGGCATAGAGCTTGCAACAATTTCTCGCCTCTCTCGGGCCAGTGGCAGTGGGGGCGTCGGCTGGGGCTGGTGCTTGCGTAGCAAATGCTCCTGTTGCGGCTGAACGGGCAGTCGTTGGACCTTGGCTTGCAATGGAGTGAAGGGCATTGCTGGTATCCGTTTTTTGGCATTGATTATTTTGACATTTCCCGGTGCTTGCATATTTATTTTCCGACCCTGCGACTGCTTTTCCATGGAAAGTTTCTCGGCTCTCTTGTGGAGTTTCATTTGCTCTGGCGAGTTGAAGGGTGTATAATTATGATCGTTCTTGATCACATTGAGCAAAGCATCCGTTTCCGGTGTCCTCTTGAAGATGGACAAACCAGCAAGCTCTGTAAATAAAATGTACTTTAGGCGACACCAGAATCGATTGTTTACTCATTTGATACTTACTTAGCGCATTCTTAACAACCAGATCCGCAGTGCCATCGGCATAGAATTGCTCCACACGTAGGCCCACAATTTGCGGCCGCTCCTTTGGTTTGCGTCGCTTCTTCTTTTTGATTACTTTCGGTTTGCGGCCGGGACGCTTCCTGGTTTTGGGAGCCTCCGTTTCGGTCTCTGTAGAGTCATCGTTGACCTCGTCGTCGGTGTTGTTGTCATCATCGGGGGCATTGTGGTCCACCTCGCTTCTGACATCATCGCCGCCACTTTGGCTCCCATTGTCGCTGTCCAACTCCGTGTCCGTCGCGGCATCTAGGAACTGCTCCAGTTCCTTTAAGCGTTCATCCTCCTCCTGGTCAACCATGCTAGGCGTGGGCGAAGTGATTCGCACAACGCTGATGCTTGAAATCGATTTTTCCTCTAACAAAAGAAATTGTAGTGGAGCATATAAATGTTATTCAACCATCAGTTCCCCTACCCATGAGGTTCTCCATGGCACGCTCATCAAAAGAAATGCCATTTTTGCTGTAGACCACAACCAAATTCGAATCTCCGTCAGCCGCTCGTCTGGCACTCGGTGCCTCGATGAATACCGAACTAGACATGGTGCTGTCTATTCGTGGGATGGGATGGCCAACTACAAACACATTGCAGACAGTGGCCCACACAACGTTTTCAGAACTATATTCTATGCCCGTTCGTAATGCTTTTTGGCATTTGTTGTTTTGCTAGTGCCGCCGCGTTGCGACGCCGACATCCGAATCAGGGTCAGCGTCCGGAAAGTCTTATTAATACGTAATACTATAGTTGCACCACACCACCGATAACTGCATAAGCATTTAGCTTGAAAAACACTATCTTTAAACGCCTTTTTGTTGCACTAAATTTGTAATTCTTCTAAAATTTATGGAAATGAAATTCGCAAAAAATTCTTTACGTGTGACCAGATCGATATAAGGCAGAAAAGATATCGTTTATTTCCAGTATATTCGATTCTAGTATTTTCGATTGCCCCAAGCGAAATATATCGCACTTTTTGACGACAAAATATTTATCTGGGCTAAATTTAGTACCTGCTTGACAACAAAGGACAAAAACAACAACAAAAACTGATAAACATATTATTTACAGCTGCAATTGTTCGGTTTGCAGATATCGCTAATCGCTTTGGGTGGAACCCAGTTATTACCCCAGTTACTACTCTTATTCCAAACGTGACGCTTCAACATGGCTGCTTTTCAGATGGGATCGGGGTACGCAGTGCCTATGACATTGTTTAAGAACAATAGAGATCGCGTTTGCAAAGCTTTGTTGCAGCAACTTCTGAAGAGCCTCAAGTTTGATTCGGGCAACCTGCTCGTTCTGCTGGAGGGTGGGAAGGATCAGAGCTTATACAACACCGACGTGGACTATGTGTTTCGCCAGGAGTCATATTTCCAGTATCTGTTCGGAGCCAAGGAGCCCGGCTGCTATGGCATCCTTACAATCGACGTACGGACGGGGGGCGTCGCCAGCATTCTGTTTGTGCCCCGCCTGCCCGATGAGTACAGCACTTGGATGGGCGATCTGCTTGCACCAGCTGAATTTAAGGCCATGTACGAAGTGGATGAGGTCTACTATCTGGATGAACTCACGGACTATCTGGAGAGGGCAGCACCCAAGCTGATACTCACGCTCAGTGGCACCAACAGCGATAGCGGCCTCACAATGCAACCGCCCGAGTTCGATGGCAAGGAAAAGTATGTAACCGACTGCGACCTACTCTATCCCATATTGTCCGAATGCCGTGTCATCAAGTCTGCCGAAGAGATCGAAGTTCTGCGGTATGTGGCAAAGGTCTCGTCGGATGCCCACATCAGAGTCATGAAGTTTATACGCCCTGGAAAGATGGAGTTTGAGGGGGAATCGCTGTTCCTGCACCACTCGTATTCCGTAGGCGGCTGCCGTCATGCCTCCTATACATGCATCTGCGGCAGCGGCACCAACTCGTCTATTCTGCATTATGGCCATGCCGGAGCACCCAACAACCGGCCCATTCAGGATGGCGAAATGTGCTTGTTCGACATGGGGGCCAACTACTGCGGATATGCGGCAGACATTACCTGCTCTTTCCCAGCCAACGGCAAGTTCACGGATGACCAGAAGTTCATTTACAACGCTGTGCTGGATGCACGCAACGCGGTGTCTGAGACAGCACGCGATGGCGTATCGTGGGTGGACATGCACAAGCTGGCGGGCAAGGTATTGCTGCAACGTCTCAAGGAGGGTGGCATGCTTCAAGGCGATGTCGATGAAATGCTCGAAGCTGGACTCTCCGCTGTCTTTCAGCCGCACGGCCTGGGCCACTTGATTGGTCTGGATGTGCACGATGTGGGCGGCTATTTGGCCACTGAGCCCAAGCGTCCCAACGAGCCGTGGCTGAGCAAGTTGCGCTTCGCCCGTGTTCTCAGGGCTGGAATGTACGTGACCATTGAGCCGGGCTGCTACTTCATCAAGCGTTTGATGGATGGCGCTCTGGCCAATCCCGAACTGAGTAAATTCATCAATGTGGAAGTCTTCAATCGATTCCGCAACTTTGGCGGCGTCCGCATCGAGGATGATGTCCTCATCACCCAGAATGGTATCGAGAATTTTGCAATTGTGCCACGGACCATTGAGGAAATCGAGGCAACCATGAGCTCCAAATAGCCAAATGAAGGCTGGAGGGCTATCTATCAGTTGAACTAATGCACACAGTATAATATCTATATTGAATAATGTCATAATCAAATTATGGTTAACCAATAAATACATTTTTTTGTGGGATATGATCGATAAAATCGAATATCCATTGTTATTTTTATAAATTTAAATGCGGCCCCCATTCTTGCTTACAAAGAAAAGGTAAAATACAACTCCGCCAAGGGTATACATAGGTTTTTTTATACAGTGCCAGACATAAGTGTTGGCACAGCTATCAAATTTAAGTTTACTGATGTTTTAATAACTTCTCCATTGCGATTTTTTAATTCAAAATTAACATAATTTGAAGCTCTTTCGAACGATGCTCCGAATGGAATGCAGAATGATTTTCATCTGAGATTTTGTCGTTTATTGCTCACATTTTTCTAAATTTTAGGAGTGAAGTGAAAAGTTATTGCTGTGCCAATACTTATGTCATACTCATATCAAGTTTCGAGTTCGTTTATTGGCAAACATTTTTAACAAAGTAAACGAGAGAGAGGGACAGGGAGCGGCAGCTGGTTTAAGCGAAACAAGTCAAAGTCTTTCAAGCGGTTTCTAATCTATTTACAAGCTGGTACGACTGTGTGTCGACAGAAATATTGCCATAATGTGCTCATTGCCCCGATTGGTTTTTTGCTCGGGTTACATATACTTCTTGACGTGTCCGTTGCGTTGCTGCTGCCTCAGATGAGCATGTCCTCCGTTACAATTTCCATTCTCGGCGAGATTGTCGCTGCCAGGATCGCCGCCGCACTCATGTACCTCGATAATCTCGACGGCGCTTTGACGTGGAAACCAGCCACGCGTATGTCCGCTACGCTGATGCTTTTTGTCGGCGCGCAGCTCCTGCTTGGTGAGTTCCCGCTCGCCAAAGAGCCAATGCTTGCGAAAGCGCGTTACCTTAATTATGTCACCTGGTTGTAGGCGGATACGCGGCTCATCCGTGCAGGGAGCACCCACGCATACGCTCCAACCCTGCGAGCAAATGGGCAGCCATCGACCCGTCACGGGACTGTGACACTTGTAGGTACGTGTCCGTGCTCGCTTTTCCTCCTTCTGTGCCAGCTGCTCTCGCTAGTGAAGGGAAAGGGGGAATTAATATTCAACATCTGCCTTATGCCTTGCAGACACTTACTGTCAATGTGTATTGATCACAGCCCTTTACCACGGGCCACTCGATGCCGTCGCCGAGCTTTTGGCACTCGTCATTGAACACCTGCTTCAGATTGAGCAGCCAGCCCAGATCATACGGATAGATAAAAGTATCCACATCCTCGCCGTTGGCGTATCGGCGATACTGCGCCTTCTCGACTATCCAGATTTCAATGCCCGTCTGGTTGGCGACAATTGTCTTCAGTTGAATAAACAGCAGCATGCCCAGGCCGATGACCACGCCAATGGCCAGGCCCATGCCTGTGATGCACATTATTATGCTGACCACTGTGAACTGTACGCTGGCCAGGTGTACCAGTCCATGTGTCAGATAATAGTAGCGATAAATGCCACGATAGAACGAGCCGCAGAGGACTACAGTGGCCTGCATGCTACCCAATATGGAGAAGAGCAGGAAGTACGAGAAGTAGGCATGATTGGCCCAGCCCACACAATGGTTGATCCACGGACAATGATGATCCATCTTCTTCACGCATCGGTTGCCTAGGTAGAAAGAAAGGGAATTGGTTAAAGTTCTTGCTTTGTGGCTCTTCTTGAGGCTGCACTTACACTTGCGACAATGATGGGAGCGAGGAGCTTTGTAGCCCTCGCACGCCTTGCAATACTGCAGGTACTCTGTGTCCTTGGGCTCCTGCCAAAAATTAGATTTTCATAAGGAAAATATGATTTTATATTTTATATATGCGTGATTAATGCACCCTCTAGCTAAACTATGGGTTACAACAAAACCTAACGACGCACAGCTCATTAACTGCCCACCCATCGCCGCCCCTCTTGTGTCTGGGACCTGCCTACAAAACATTTATGCAAATTCTGGTAATTGCATTACGGACGGGACTGCGCTCGCGTGCAGGGCATGGCCGTTAAGTCGGTCCATAAATTATTTGTGGGCCACTGCGTCATGGCCAAGGAAAAAATTAATGGGCGCCTAAAAACGTTACCGGTCTTGGTTCTAGCACGACATATTTGCAATTCTCCTCCTGTGAGGTATTGAATTCAAAATCTTGAAAATAAATTGCAGTTTAATTGACGCGAACTATGCGATAAGGTAATACACACGCCACAGTAGGGCTGGCCCATTTGTCTGAAATAAATAAAGCAAAGAAATTCCCCGAGTGACGGCCAAATAGTAGGGCTTGCCCTCAGCCAAGTGTTGATGGCACCCTTGGCTCGTTCTCATTCCATTCCATTTGTGTGCTAAACAAGAACTTCCGCTTCAGAATGACGATGCACAATGGGGACAGAAACCGCCCTCAGTTCGTGCCGGGTCAACATTTTTGTATGGGCGCCAATGGATGTGGAAATTATCAAAGGTAACAGGTGTTCACCCGCCAGCTCTAATTCAGCTAGCAATTTTCCCATGAAGCGTGTCACAACAGAATGTATTCTACAATTTGGTGGCTGCCACTTCTGTTATTTACCTTTGGCTGCCACTGTCTTGGCAATAGGCCGGGACCTGTTAGCGTGGCCATGACGTAATTGAATGTAGCCAGCGTGGAGAGCATTAGGAATAAGGCCTGATGGGCAAAGCCAGCGAATGATTCATTTGGCGGCCACCACATCGAGTTCATGTAGAGCGTTGTCAGCGTTATGCACTTGATAATGCCTGCAAACGGGAAAACAAAAGATAAACATTATAGTAATATTTGTTTATGGAATTTGATATTATTGTTCAGCGTAGCCCCGGGTCAGGGTCTGGGTGGGGGTACCTGGTGTGGTGGTGGGTTATGCTTCGCTTCGTTGCGTGCATAGGAAATTAAGATCATTTATTTCGTTTATGGCCACCCTTTTGAGTTGATTAAGCGTAACTGCGCCCCTCGCAATGAGTGTCCCGGTCTGGCCAGGGCCCATCCCTACTCCTGGCCAAAAGCAGCAACAAGCAGCCGGCGAACCGCACCTACGTCTAATTTAGACATTACGGCTGAAACACACACAATTGTATATCAGTTCGATACTTCAACCGTAATTCAACCGGAAGTCTTACGGTCGTTTTTACCGTCTGCCTAGCAAAGGACCAAATGGTCAATTTGCACGCTATACTTGGACTGCGTGAAATTTCCGATAGCACAGGAGCCGACGACACTTTGAACAAGAAATATGAAATAAAACCGAAACACACATGCAACTAAAACGCAATTAGCGCAGCACGTTAGGGGAATTAAAAGGCAAAGTTGGTGCCGGGAGGAGTCTCTCTCTCCACTGTGGGGTTGACACTCAATTGGGCTCCGAGCAGCGAATGTGGCGTGCCGGACGGACTCTGGGACCCGTCCGTCCGAAGAAATATGAAACGCGATGTTACGATCCAGACATATGTATACAAAACGCGGGCGTTGCCGTGTGGCCGTGCGGGCGTTGGAAGACCCACCCACACGTCTTAGAAAAAGTAATTGGAGCCTTGTTATGTGCTGTGCTCTTTGTGGCCGTCTGTCTGTCCAGTCCAGCAGTTCATTCACTTCACTTTGTGCCCATTTGGAAACTTTTCTTATTAGCTTGTTGCCCACAAGCCGCTGACGACAAACTGCAGCCTCTCTATCCACAGGTCAAAGGCGCCTTCGGTAGTACTTACTCAGGGCTGTGATTGGGCCCCAATGTATAAAACGGCGAAAGCCGGATATTTCAGCACTCATAATTTTTAAATACAATCGCGTTGGCGTCCAAAATGGTAGTAAACAAACGTCCAAAAACAGTGTGACCGCTCCGATAACGATAAAAAATACCATCCGGCCAAAAAATAAACTTAACCCACCTAACACCCCTCTATTTAAAAAGTTGAGCACTCTTTGTTAAACCGCGGAAAACAATACTTTTTGTAAAGGCTGCTTGTAGCTCCATCCTCGTATTTTTTTACAAAACAAAAATGACCACCGACATCTTTCAACTAAACTGCCTAAAATATGTTAAATTACATAAATTTCGTGGAAATATTAAATACCCCCTTGGTCGACAATGGGTTAACGTTCTATTTTGTTGGTGAAATCATATTCCATAATTTTGATGTTCAGTTTAATATTACTAGCTATTTGGCCCTTTCAGCCTTAAACAAATAATTTTATCCAATTCCCCAATAAATTTGGTTTTTGTTATTGGTACCCATGAGCTACAACAAATTTCCTGTGGTTTATTAAAAATCCGATTCCCGCTTTAAATAAAATACATATACGTACACAATTTACTTGTTGGCTACAATTTCGTACTTAATACCATGCTCGTGCTTCTCCAACTCGCTGATTAGGCTCGTCTTGGAGAAGGCGGCAGCCGGTGAAAAGACTCCGCCTGTACTTGGAATTTTATCGCTCTCGTTCAGAATGGTCTTTGCCGTAGACAACAAGGCGACACAGGTGGAACCGTAGCCAGGGTTAGGACCAGTTATTTGTACTGTTAAGGTTTTAGTTGGTGGTGACGTGTACTGGTCTGTACTTTCGGTGAGGATCTGTGATTTGGGCCATCCGGTGGCTTTCATTGTCATTCTGAAGAACGAACGCTCCATGCGCGCCTCGCTCGGACCGTCACCGAGACGCCAATCCACCGGAAAAGAAGCTGGGATACTTGAGCAGGAGCTGACGTCCAAAGGAAAACTTGGCCATAGTTCCAATAATAGCAGCAAAGAAGACAACCACGCCAGCAACTAACCGCGAGGGATACGTCATGTAGGCTTGCATCTGGATCGGACGTTTCTTCTCATTCTCGTACAGGTAGCGCTGCGAACGCATAACCACGGAGCGATCCGTCTCCGGGAAGGGCAGGATTACTTTACCCACCTCATCAGCAAGGGAAAGGGGCGCTCGTGGCTTAAGCTCGGGATGGAATTTAGGCAGACGATCTGGGAATAGCTTCCTGCGTATGGCGACTGACTCACTCCTGTTCGCGATTGCGAAAATGGCACTCTCCCAAGTGCCAGTGTTAAGAGTAGCGCCGCCCGCACCTTTTGTACCACCCTTGACTCCAAAATGGACGAAATTCTCCACTGCGTTTACAACTCCGTCAAAGTTCTTCTCTATAAAGGCGACGCCCATGTCGGCGGGAATGGAGTCAAAGCCACAGGCGCTGATCACGTACACTCCCCGCTCCCTGGCACGGTCGTTGTACTTCAGCTGCATGGATTCCATATACTGAGGCTCGCCGCTAACGTCAACGTGATGTGTGCCTGCCTCGATGCAGGCTTTAACCACATTTTCGCCATAAAAGCGATATGGCCCAGCAGTGTTCACCACAATGCGGCAACGCTTGGCCATTTCATCTAGTGATGACTGATCGTTCACATCGGCTATGATGATGGGTGTCTGCGAAAGATCTGTTTTGGACTTTGCACCCATTTCCTTAAGCACCGACTGCAGTTTTTCCTGGTTACGCCCGGCGATTCCCCAGTTCAGGCCCTTCAGAACTGACACAGCTTCCAGGACCGTGTGTTTGCCGGTAAAACCGGTGGCACCAAAAATGATGGCATCCAATTTCTTAGCTGCCATTGCGTAGGGGTCACTGTAAAGCCACGAATATATAATAAGTTGCTTAGTAATTGCTTATCAGTTTGGAATGATCGGCTGCTTCTTGGTGTTCCTGTGTACGACAGCCGGATAGTGGTAGCGATCAGACTAAACAAGTGGTATTTATTCCTCTGATAACAGCCGGTGACTCCACAAATAAAAACAACAACGCCCAGGTGATAATAAGCACGGTTGCTAAACATAACATGATGATGAAGATATGGCGCCATCGATAGAACTCAAGATATCGATATTTATATGAATATTTTTATATATTATATTTTATAAATGAAATTGCGCCCAAAATAAGTGCAATAATGTTGTAGAAATCCTGTTGTGAGGGTGCATGAGACACATAGCTCTGCATTGAGGCGTTGCCTCGCAGATCGGCGCTGGATTTATTCGTAGGAATGGGCTCAAATGTGTATAGAGCGCGAAACCCAATGGCCACAAACCGATCGTTCGAGTGTAGTGTGACTCGAAAGAATCGACCATCCGAGCGCATTTCAAAGTCCTGCAGCTTGCCACAGTATTTACTGTACTTTTCGATCTGTGCTCATAAAATTCGAGAACTCCACATAGTCGCTTGCGGTCTGATGATCACACCTGAAAACAAACCAAATCGTTAGTACAGAGACACAAATGCACATAGAGCGAAAGTGATCTTACGCGCCGATGCCCTCCACATCAAAGTATGTAAAATGTACGACAACTCTTTCGTCTCTGCCGGCATAAAAATAATAGTTGCAAACAACGTTCTCCAGATAGTATCCAGGAAAATTGGGCGAATGGAAGAGGCCGCTGATGCGTTCGCTGCTGTTATACACAAAAGTGCATTCCTCGCCCTGTTGGACGCCCGACATGATGCCAAAATCTATAAACGTAAATAGTGCTCCAAGTCATAGAGTAATCCAAATGAGTGCAGTCAACTCACTTGTCAGGAATCTGTATTCCGCTCTAAACCCGTAATATTGCACCTTGTTGGTCAGTTGAGGTGGGTACTTCCCGTAGTACTGCATATGGATTTGCGGGCCATTCGACATCAGAGGTTTGGGCAGATACGGGCCACAGACAAGCTCCTGTGTCTCGTATCTGCCGCCAACTTCAATCATCACGTGGAGAGCATCATTTGCCTGGCATTCAGTCGAGTTTTCGTGTATAGTTGGTATGTTAAAGTCGTGAAATTTAATTTGAATGCGTTCCGACGGTTGCGCTTCAAAATCGTAGCGGCAGAGAATGCTTCTCGCGCCAGTGCTGGCAACTCCCGAGTTCTTGCTGAAGAACAGCTGATTCGACTCAAACGTTCCCGATTTGTTTACACGCGAATCGTACGTGTGCTGGCATTTTTCTGTAATTGTTATTTATTATATTATATACGTTGTGTATTATATGTTAGGGCTGGTGAAATCGAAGAGTCGCTTTCGGTTTTTAGCTCGTCTTGGTAGCAGCGTCATGGGCAGCAAGCAGACGGAGAATGAGGACAATAGATTGGACACATTTCGGCGCATTTGTGATGAAATAGCTGCAGAATCAAGCTACCTAAAGAAGGTGGATAAGCTACAGAATTTCTTTGAAAAGGGCACCAGTGGCTCTGGCTTCGAGGGCGACACATTGCAGTGGGTGCAGTTTCTGATACCAGTGGCCAACCAGCGCGTCTACAATTTGCAGAACAAGGCGCTGATAAAACTATTTTCACGCATTTTCAATGCAAACCAGCAGCAAATGCACCTGGATCTTGAACAGGGTGAGCTAAACGCGTAGTAGTATCAGAAGCAACAATAATAATTGTTTCATATTAATTCCTTGTAGATGGAGACGTGTCTGAGACTCTACGCAAGCATTTTGCCGAGACAAGCAAACTCAAACCGCAGAAGCAAAGCAAACTCTATTTGCATGAAGTGGAGAGGCTGCTCACCCAGCTCGAGGAGCGCACCAAAGAGGATGAACAAACGGAACTGTTGCAGGAGCTGTGCAAGAAGGCAACCGATTTGGATTTACGCACCTTTATCCGACTGATTAAGCAGGATCTACGCATAAATGCACGTGCCAGACATATACTGGATGCCTTTGGCCCACTCGCTTATCCCGCCTATCAATCGTCGCGCGATTTATCAGCCATCGTGGAACAGTTTGCGGGGAAAAAAGACAACAAGACCACAGCCCCTGGCCAAGTAAAGAAGACGAAGAAAATTGGTTTGAACGGAAGTGGGATTCAAGTAATGACCCCAATATCGCCCATGCTGGCCAATGCCTGCAAGTCTGTGGAGGAAGCGTTCAAAAAGAGTCCCAGCGGTCTGTACGGTGAAGTAAAATACGATGGCGAGCGTGTGCAAATCCACAAGCAAGGCACGGAATTCAAGTTCTTTAGTCGCAATCTGAAGCCGGTGATGGATCACAAAATCAAAGCTCTAAAAGGACCATATACCACGAGCCTTCCCCGGAGCCGGCGACATGATTCTGGACTCTGAGATAATACTGGTGGACACAGAGTCGGGCGCCATGCTACCCTTTGGCACTTTGGGTGCGCATAAGAAGCAGACATTTGCCAATGCGTCAGTTTGTCTGTTTGTCTTCGATTGCATACTCTACGATGGCGAGGATTTGACACAGCTGTGAGTGTGAATCTGAGCCCCATCCAGAGCCTACAATAATTGATTTACCTTTTACTTTTAGTGAATTCCATAAACGTCGCAAAATACTCGAGGAAAACATCAATCCCTTGAAATCCCATGTGCAGCTGTCCGAGTCTCAATTTCTGAAGACAAAGAACGAGCTGGCCATGATGACGGCCAAGGTTTTGCATGCCAATCTGGAGGGTGTGGTACTGAAGAGTCCCAATGGCATCTACCAGCCCGGCAAGCGCAACTGGCTGAAGGTCAAAAAGGATTACCTCTTCGAGGGTAAAATGGCGGACACAGCTGATCTCGTTGTGCTGGGTGCGTGGTATGGCTCTGGGAAGAAGGGAGGTGTGCTCAGCATCTTTCTGATGGGATGCTACGATGCGCGTGATCATCTGTGGAAAACTGTGACGAAAGTCCACTCTGGCCTAGACGATGCCACCAACGAGGAGATACATGGCACGCTGATGAAGCTAAGTGAGCGTGCTGATGCCAATAAGACACCCGATTGGCTGCTGTGCAAAAAGTCTCTGGTGCCAGATGTCTTGGCCAAGGATCCAGCAAGCATGCCTGTGTGGGAGATCACTGGGGCTGAGTTTACCAAGTCCGAGGCACACACAGCGTCCGGCATCTCGATACGCTTTCCCAGGATAACACGTCTGCGCAGCGATAAAACGGCGAAGGAGGCAAATGATTTGGCCCATTTGGAAGACTTGTATGAGGCCTCCAAGAAGAATGTCAACGTGGATCTGCTATTGGCCAATTGTGATAAGGACGCGCATGACGAAAAGACGCCCCAAAAGGTAAAGCCAGCCATTAATACCCGTTCGAGCAGTAATCAAAAACTAAAGAGATCGCCCACTGGTTCGGATGATGACGACAAAGCTGGTCGTGCGCCAACGCAGAGCAAACGCAAGATACCAAAGCTTGAATGTATTTCACCATCACAAAAGGGCCTTAAAGATTATTTCAAGTCCAGCAAATCGGAAATAAAAACTGAAGTAAAGCTGGAGGATAAAGCATCCGATCCCATTAGCGTGGAGAGCAAGTTATTTGTGGGTCTAGTGGCTCAATTTGATGTGAATCGAGACCTGGCCAAAATTAGAGATGAGTTTGTGAGGCACGGAGGTTCTCTCACCACGGACACAAAAAAGGCAGATTTGGTTTTCTATGCCGACAAGGCTGTGGATTTGGATAAACTGAGGTTCTATTTCATATATTTATTGTTTTGTTTTTAATAATAATAATCTAATGTCTTCTGCAGGGCTCTTTACCGCCGCAGCTGTCGTCATCTCAACGTTGGCTGGCTTAATGCATCCATTGAGAACCAGAGTCGGCAGCCTTATCCGCTTTATGCTGTATTGCTTAAGCGCTGAATTTGCTTTGTTTAAAAATATTTCTACATACGAGTATGTTAGATTAATGGATGAAATTATTATACTATATACATGTTTATCAAATGCGGTACACGATTTCAACAAGCGGCGACACCACTCAAAGCTTCATTTGAAAGCTTTGCGCCGTTTCTAATAAAACAATTCCAGTTTGTTTGTGGCGTCGCAGTTATCATTTGAACGCTTGGATCGCCGAACGTGTACTGAGATCATCAGAAATGTTGTTAGAATTTCTGGCACTGCTTGGCATTGCCTTTGCATTGTTCTATCGCTGGGCAACGGCAAACAATGACTTTTTCAAGGAGCGGGGTGTTGCTTTTGCTAAGCCTATACCTTATTTTGGAAACATGGCCGACATGTTCCTGCGACGAAAGGCCATGTTCGATGTCGTCTGTAATTTGTACAACAAAGGTGGCAGCAACAAGTGAGTGTTTGTGTTTTACATTGCAATCTATTCATTTAATATCTTGCTAATTCGATTCAACGCACTTTGAACCTATTGAGAGAATATAAATAGATACACGCAATTATGTCTCTTCATGTGTAAATTAACCTACAGCGTCCAGTCAAGGTCAATAGATCGTATCTGTCTACCCATATGGAGTGGGTGCGGCCGCGTTTCAAATATTACATACATATTATGTACCCATGTATAGTAAAGTTTCTGATGATTCTTAAACGATATGTGTGAAATTCTGAAATTATGGATACATATGTAGTAGCAAATAATTGTGTTTATCAGTTGAGATTATTTTAATGTTATCAGTGTGGAACGCTTAGTTGCCAAGTAGTATAGATAGTTGCACAGAAACACCACAAAGCTAATGCGCAGGTGTATCGATCATTATGTACCCTATATAGTCTGAAATGTATGTCTGCGCATTTTAGCATATCGGGTAGTTAGAAAAAATTAAATAAAAGCAAATAAAATGCCTACAATTGTGAGGGTTAAGCTAAAAGAGAATCGGATAGGTTAAGATCAAACCGTGAGGCCATAAAAATATATTAATTGATGGCCATCAAATTCTAATCTTATTTGTTCCATAAAATTATCAGTAAAACGATTATCAGTCAATAACATTGAATTCTTTATTTTACGCAGAGTTTTTGGTATCTTCGAGCAGCGCATGCCACTGCTGATGATCCGCGATCCAGAACTTTTAAGGCAGATAACTATAAAGGACTTTGATCACTTTATCAATCATCGCGATCTCTTCAGTACTGGCACTGACGATGATCCACACGATATGAGCAATCTTTTCGGCAGCTCGCTCTTCTCGATGCGCGACGCACGGTGGAAGGACATGCGGAGCACACTCAGTCCCGCCTTCACGGGCAGTAAAATGCGTCAAATGTTTCAGCTTATGAATCAGGTGGCCAAGGAGGCCGTCGATTGTCTGAAGCCCGATCAGACGGGTTCGGTTCAGGAAGCGGAGATGGACATGAAGGATTACTGCACACGCTTCACCAACGACGTGATTGCCTCGACGGCCTTTGGCCTGCAGGTGAACTCGTTCAAGGAGCGAGATAACACCTTCTATTCGATGGGCAAAAAGTTGACCACATTCGGTTTTCTGCAGAACCTAAAGTTCATGTTATTCTTCACCCTTAAGTCGCTCAGTAAGGTGAGTAGATCGATAACAGAGCACTCTAGATCACTCATCCAACACTCTCTCATCTCTTTGCAGCGTATTAAGATCCAGCTCTTTGACAAGAAGAGCACTGAGTACTTTGTGCGTTTGGTGCTTGATGCCATGAAATATCGACAGGAGCACAACATTATCCGTCCGGACATGATCAACATGCTAATGGAAGCCCGCGGCCTGTTCCAGTCGGAGAAGACCAAGACGACAGTGGTTCGTGAATGGAGCGATCGCGACATTGTGGCCCAGTGCTTTGTGTTCTTCTTTGCGGGCTTTGAGACGTCCGCGGTGCTTATGTGCTTCACAGCCCAAGAGCTGATGGAGAACGAGGATGTGCAGCAGAAGCTCTACGAGGAGGTGCAGCAGGTGGACATCGATTTGGATGGCAAAGAATTGACATACGAAGCCATCATGGGCATGAAGTATTTGGATCAGGTTGTCTCGGAGGTATTACGCAAATGGCCGGCAGCCATAGCCATCGATCGAGAGTGCAACAAGGATATTACCTATGACTTGGATGGCCAGACTTTGGAAATCAAAAAGGGCGACTACATCTGGCTGCCCACATGCGGCTTCCATCGTGACCCCAAATACTTTGAGAATCCCAGCAAATTTGATCCAGAGCGTTTCAGCGAGGAGAACAAGTCCAACATTCAACCCTTCACATACTATCCCTTTGGCCTTGGCCAACGCAACTGCATTGGTGAGTGACTGGACCGGAACTGAAACCTCAAGATAGTCCTATTTTTTTTTTTTCCAATTTTAGGTTCCCGCTTTGCACTGCTCGAGGCCAAGGCTGTCATCTACTACCTGTTGAAGGAATATCGCTTCGCTCCAGCCAAGAAATCGTGCATTCCCTTGGAGCTAGCCAGCAATGGGTTCCAGCTGACGCCCAAATCTGGATTTTGGGTTAAGTTTATTCCGCGCAATTAATTTCTCTGCTGTGCCAATGCTTCCTAAACCTATTAAACATTTGTCTAAAAGTATGCATCGTTATTTTATTATTATTGTTTTGCCAGCCTTAGCGATGTGTTCTTTTCTGTAGACTTTTTTAAACCTTAAGCTAGAACAATTCTTAAAGCTAATATCATATGCCGGAACGTTTAATCTTTAACGATATGTATTAACAGCCTAGTCAGTCTAGTATTTCTTTCTGTTTCTTTATGTCTCTTGCAATCTTTTTATCTGGTGAAATTACTGTATCTACGTGTAAAGTAGAGTATCAAATCTGAGTGGAGGGAATCCTAGGAAAATACTCGTCTGGAATTCTTCTGTTCGTATACCAATGAGTAATATATTTAAATATCAATTCATTGCAATGCGCTTTCTAAACGATAATTTTGTAACTACATTCAGGCGCATGCACATTTTTAAGTACGTATTATGAATGTTCATTTGAGGGCACATTGGGATCAATCAAATCAAATTTCCCGCATACAGTGAACACTCCTCATGCAGAGCGACCGCGATATTAGACATTTTTTTGATTACAAAAAGATCAACAATTCCGAGTTATCCACAGCCCACTGTACTTGGCTTTAGCACCACTGGGAATAAGGAAGCGCCTGCCAAGTGACAAATAATCGTATGCCGAATGATGTAAATATAAAGGGAAAGAACTGCTGAGCTCAGCTCAATTGATTAGGTGTATCGCATCGACTCTGTAGCAAGTACGCAGGACCAAAATGGAAACGGAAGTACAACGATTTTATAAAGGGAAGACGCTATTCGTGACAGGCGGCACTGGATTTTTGGGCAAAGGTGCGGCATGTGCCACAAGGACTGGCTGGTGTAAGGAACCTAAAGAATCTATTGAACCTTTTCGATTTTCCAGTGATTATTGAAAAAATCCTGCGAGCGACAGATCCAAAGCATATTTATTTTCTGGTCAGGTCTAAGAAAAACGAGGATGTGAACGCTCGCTTTGTCAAGTGGATGAACCAGCCAGTAAGTAGCCACAGCCACAGGCACAGCAGCCGCTTCATCCAATTCCTTCCTGTTTAAGATCTTCGAGTCACTGCTAAAGAAAAAGCCAAAGGCCTTGCAGCTGATGAAGCCCATAGCGGGGGACTGCCTTGAGCCTGACCTGGGCATAAGTGATTCGGATCGTAAAATGCTTGAGAAAGAGGTGCAGATTGTTATACACGGAGCAGCCACTGTCCGCTTCACTGAGCCCATGCACATTGCGCTGGCCATCAACACTCGGGCTACGCGCCTCATGCTGCAGCTGGCCAGAAAAATGCACCACTTGGAGGCCTTCGTGCAGATCTCCACTGCCTACTCCAACTGCGTGATAGACAACATTGGCGAGGAGTTCTATCCCCACCATCTGACCTGTTCCGCCGATAAGGTGCTGCACCTGAAGGAGACTCTGAGCGCCGAGCTTTTGGACAAAATGACGCCTGCCTTGCTGGGGAAATACCCCAACACGTACAGCTACACGAAGGCCCTGGCAGAGCAGGTGATCCAAGAGGAGGCGGGCGACTTGCCGGTGTGCATCTTTAGGCCGGCGATAAGTAAGTGTTGTGTTGCCAGTGTCCCTTCAATAACCTACCCACTTTTCCCAACGATAGTATATGCCAACTACAAGGAGCCCTCTTCCGGTTGGATTGACAATCCATTCGGACTGGTCGCCCTGGTATACGGCATTGCCTACGGTGTGTTGCACCTTTTGCTTGCCAATATGAAGGCTCAGGCGATTTTGCTGCCTGGCGATTACTGTGCCAACCTGGCCGTGGTCAGCGCATGGGAAACGGCCAAGAAGGCAGCCCGGGCCAGGCCGTCTGCCATGAAAGGGAGTAATTCGAAGCTGACCATTTATAATTTTGCACCTAGCAGGACGAATTCGTTATTGTGGAATGATTTTAGAAACAAGGGTATGCAAGCTGACAAGCTGCAACCGATCACCAAGATGATTTGGTACCCGTTTGTGCATGTCACCAACTGTCCTTGGCTGTTTAGGCTGGGCTGCATCTTTTATCACTATGTGCCCGGCTTTCTCTACGATATCGTCCTGCGTCTGAGGGGCGAGAAACCGCGCCTGGTGCATACCTATCGCAAAGCCCACGAAAACTTGAAGGCACTCCACTTCTTCAATAAGAAATCATTTTGGTTCCGTACGGATAACACCGAAGCGTTGTGGGAGCACATGTCCCCGGAAGATCGACAGGGGTTCAATTTTGACATGAAATCCCTCGACTGGGATGACTATTTCCAGACAATCTGGTCGGGTATGCGTCTATGTTTGTTCAAGGAGCCACCAACGCAAGCTTTCTTGGCAGAGGGCAAAAGGATCCAATTTCGGTACGTATTTGAAATTCGTTAAAAAAATTATCGAAGGTCTTGAATCTATCTTGGTTCGGTTCTGTTCTTGCAGTTACTATGTACTCCATAGGATTTGCCAACTTCTGATTGTCTCTGCTGTTGCATATGTGATTTGGTTGCTGTTTAACATCTGGCAATAGGAGTGCCTTAAATTGTTGTTCGAAGTGTACGGAAAGAATAAATGTTAATGCACAAAATATAACTGATACATCGACACATTCTCTGTTCAAAGGTGAAGAGTATTTGTTTGGCTAGCTTACGATATTCGTACACTCGGTACTCGTACAGATTCCTGGGTATATTCTATCTACGAATCTACGTTGTTTTATTATTATTGTTTTGCCAGCATTAGCGTGTGTTCTTTTCCGTGACAAAAGCTCTGTAGACTTTGTAAACTTTAAGCTAAAACAATTTGTGGTTAATGTGGATTTGTGTAAAGCAGAGATGGAAACGTTTCCGACCCCATAAAGTGTATATATTCTTGATCAGCATCAATAGCCGAGTCGATATAGCCATGTCCGTCTGTCCGTCCGTCTGTCCGTCCGTCCGTCTTGATGAGAGCCTGGATCTCAGAGACTATAAAACCTAGAGCAACCAAATTTTGTTTCCAGGCTCACGTGATATCACACTGCTACAAGTGTATTTAAAAACGTAGTATCGTAGAGAATGCCCATATCTACCAGATTGCTCAATCTGAATTAGATCGGATCATAATTATAGTCAGAATGTAGAAATTAATTTTCTGTTGGTTCTTCCGCCGCCTCCTGCCAGAGACCCGCTACCTATCTCTTTCTCGCTCGCACACTCTGCCGCGTTCAAAGCGCGAGCAACCCCTAGCGGAGGGAGATGTAGAACATATATAATATATGTAGATGTAGATAGCAGATGTAGCAAAAAAATTTAAAATGTAAAATTTTTTTTTTATTCTAAAATTCTAAAAAATCATAAGCTTAAAAATGTATTTACTGACTGAGTACGGGTATAAGTAGAGTCGCGTCCCCAGAAGCGACTCACACGTTCCTTCTCGTTCCAAACTGAAGTCGTGCACCTTTGTACTCTCAGACCCAAACGCGGAGCTTTCTGGGACTTCTTGCATTCAAATAATGTGTAATCAACCGTCTACGAACTGTCATTTTACTGATAGAGCGATTAAAATTTTTTTTCATAATTTTAGAGACTATTGAAGACATGGTCTTGCCTTCGACCATCGCCGACCATCCTCTAAAAAATATGTTTTTCGAATACAAAATCGATTTTCAGTCTACTTCTTATAGCTAATTAATTAAACACAATAGTGAGAGTGCATATAACTTAGTTTTCAATCCCATTATACCTCCCGCCTTAAGTTTTTAGTCTAAATCTTAGGTATTGAAAGTAGTGAGGTGCGGCACTACTATTTCATTGAACACAACTGTAAATATCAATTCATTGCAATGCGCTTTCTAAACGAAAATTTTATAAACTACACTCAGGCGCATGCACATATTTAAGTACGTATTATGAATGTTCATTTGAGGGCACATTGGGATCAATCAAATCAAATTTCCCGCATACTGTGAACACTCCTCATGCAGAGCGACCGCGATATTATACATTTTTTTGATTACAAAAAGATCAACAATTCCGAGTTATCCACAGCCCACTGTACTTGGCTTTAGCACCACTGGGAATAGGGAAGCGCCTGCCAAGTGACAAATAATCGTATGCCGAATGATGTAAATATAAAGGGAAAGAACTGCTGAGCTCAGCTCAATTGATCAGGTGTATCGCATCGACTCTGTAGCAAGTACGCAGGACCAAAATGGAAACGGAAGTACAACGATTTTATAAAGGGAAGACGCTATTCGTGACAGGCGGCACTGGATTTTTGGGCAAAGGTGCGGCATGTACCACAAGGACTAGAAAGTGTAAAGAACCTAAAGAATCTATTGAACCTTTTCGATTTTCCAGTGATTATTGAAAAAATCCTACGAGCGACAGATCCAAAGCATATTTATTTTCTGGTCAGGTCTAAGAAAAACGAGGATGTGAACGCTCGCTTTGCCAAGTGGATGAACCAGCCAGTAAGTAGCCACAGCCACAGGCACAGCAGCCGATTGATCGATCTAATGCCTTCCTGTTTAAGATCTTCGAGTCACTGCTAAAGACAAAGCCAAAGGCCTTGCAGCTGATGAAACCCATAGCGGGGGATTGCATTGAGCCTGACCTGGGCATAAGTGATTCGGATCGTAAGTTGCTTGAGAAAGAGGTGCAGATTGTTATACACGGAGCAGCCACTGTCCGCTTCTCTGAGCCCCTGCACATTGCGCTGGCCATCAACACTCGGGCTACGCGCGTCATGCTGCATCTGGCCAGAAAAATGCACCACTTGGAGGCCTTCGTGCAGATCTCCACTGCCTACTCCAACTGCGTGATAGACAACATTGGCGAGGAGTTCTATCCCCACCATCTGACCTGTTCCGCCGATAAGGTGCTGCACCTGAGGGAGACTCTGAGCGCCGAGCTGTTGGACAAAATGACGCCTGCCTTGCTGGGGAAATACCCCAACACGTACAGCTACACGAAGGCCCTGGCAGAGCAGGTGATCCAAGAGGAAGCGGGCGACTTGCCGGTGTGCATCTTTAGGCCGGCGATAAGTAAGTGTTGCCACAGATGTGTTGCCAGTGTCCCTTCAATAGCTTACCCACTTTTCCCAACAATAGTCTTTGCCAACTACAAGGAGCCCTCTTCCGGTTGGATTGACAATCCATTCGGAATCATTGCCATAGTGTACGCCACTAGTTACGGCATTCTGCACATGTTGCTTATTAATATGAAGGCTAATGGGGTTATAGTGCCCGGCGATTACTGTGCCAACCTGGCCGTGGTCAGCGCATGGGAAACGGCCAAGAAGGCAGCGAGGCCGCCTGCACTGAAAGGGAGTAAGCCAAAGCCCGCCATTTATAATTTTGCTCCTACCAGGACAAATTCCTTATCCTGGGGTGATTTCGTAGCCAAGTCCATGCATAGTGGTAAGAATGTACCGATCAGCCAGATGATTTGGTACCCGTTTCTGCTTTCCACCACATGTCCTTGGCTGTTTAGGCTGGGCTGCTTCTTTTATCACTTGGTGCCCGGCTTTTTCTACGATATCGTCCTGCGGCTGAGGGGCGAGAAACCGCGCCTGTTAAAAATCTATTCCAGAGCCCACGAAAACTTGAAGGCACTCCACTTCTTCAATAAGAAATCATTTTGGTTCAGTACGGATAACACCGAAGCGTTGTGGGAGCACATGTCCCCGGAAGATCGACAGGGGTTCAACTTTGACATGAAATCCCTCGACTGGGATGACTATTTCAAGACAATTTGGTCGGGTATGCGTCTATATTTGTTCAAGGAACCAGCGACGCCAGTTTCCTTTGCAGAAGGCCATAAGATCCAATTTCGGTACGTATTTGTAATTCGTTAAAAAAATTATCGAAGGTCTTGAATCTATCTTGGTTCGGTTCTGTTCTTGCAGTTACTATGTACTCCATAGGATTTGCCAACTTCTGATTGTCTCTGCTGTTGCATATGTGATTTGGTTGCTGTTTAACATCTGGCAATAGGAGTGCCTTAAATTGTTGTTCGAAGTGTACGGAAAGAATAAATGTTAATGCACAAAATATAACTAATACATCGACACATTCTCTGTTCAAAGGTGAAGAGTATTTGTTTGGCTAGCTTACGATATTCGTACACTCGGTACTCGTACAGATTCCTGGGTATATTCTATCTACGAATCTACGTTGTTTTATTATTATTGTTTTGCCAGCATTATCGTGTGTTCTTTTCCGTGACAAAAGCTCTGTAGACTTTGTAAACTTTAAGCTAAAACAATTTGTGGTTAATGTGGATTTGTGTAAAGCAGAGATGGAAACGTTTCCGACCCCATACAGTAGTTGGGGGAATGAGTGTTTTTGTGCTTTCTTAAACTTATTGGGAAACATCGCAGGGGTGTTTAGGTCGTTGCAAAAATGAAGTGGTACGAGGGTTCTTTTAAATGTTTCTAGTATATATACTTATATGTATATACTTGGGACTTAGGTTAGGTTATAGGTTAGATTAGTAATATATACAGCTGTGTTTAATGAAAGAGTAGTGCCGCACCTCATCACTTTCAAAACTCTTTTTGAGACACTTCCAGTTATCCAAATTGAACAAATGATACCTTTTTAAATATACTTGACTGTTAGCATTAGAAAACCTATATCAATACATTTGTATTCCATTTTCTTGTTTTACATGACATAAGCCGAATACCCATGAAATTTACTGTTCAATGAAATAGTAGTGTTTTCTTAGAACATTGAAAAAACAACGAATCTCAAATAAAAACATATATTTCATGTTTTTCATGTTTCTTGAGCTTTAATATTTAGATTTTAATCAATTTGGTTTTCATTGCGAACTTGCACCGGCCGAACATGGGTCATTAATCTCTTGCCACGCTTCAAAAGGATTTGAGCCAATAATCCATGAACCACTTGATAAAACTTGGCTCTGGTTGACGAATTTGCAGTTGCAACAATGTATTTGGTATTCTCTCATAAGATTTCGATGAGATTAATATCCAGTTGGACAGTTGGCCATGGCAAAACGTCGATCTTTTCCGATAACAATTAATTCCTAGCGAGCTCTTATTTGTGTTTCAAGTCATTATCCGGTTAAAATATCCTTTTAGCAGGAATTTTTCAACTGTAATATGAATGTAATGTATTCTAAAATATGCCTACATACACAGTTTCGCTCAAAACCATACTATACTCAAACGCCAGGCTAGAAAGTACTAGCTTATATGAGCTGGGCCCCATAAGGCTCAGCCTAGCATGCCCAATGCTATATTTTTCATGATTTTAGGCTGTAATCGTCATGATTTTCTGTGAATGCCAAACATATTCTTTTGAGTCTATCTAACCAAATAATACAACTTTACTATCATCAGTCAAAAGTATTTTTGTCACTGTGACACAGGCCATTCCACATGCGTTTTTATACCCGTACTCAAAAAAGAGTTAAGGGGTATATTAGATTTGTGGTAAAAGTGGATGTGTGCAACGCAGAGAAGGAAACGTTTCCGACCCCACAAAGTATATATATACTTGATCAGCATCAATAGCCGAGACGATATAGCCATGCCCGTCTGTCCGTCCGTCTGTCCGTCCATCTGTCCGTCCGTCCGTCTTGATGAGAGCCTGGATCTCAGAGACTATAAAACCTAGAGCAACCAAATTTTGTGTCCAGGCTCCAGATCCAGATCGGATCATAATTGTAGCCAAAATGAAGAAATTAATTTTCTGTTGATTCTTCCGCCGCCTCCTGCCAGAGACCCGCTACCTATCTCTTTCTCGCTCGCACACTCTGCCGCGTTCAGTGCGCCGGCAACCCTTAGCGGAGGGAGATGTAGAATATACATAATGTATGTAGATGTAGATAGCAGATGTAGCAAAAAAATTTAAAATGTAAAATTTTTAATTCTAAAATTCTAAAAAATCATAAGCTCAAAAATGTATAAGGGTATACTGGTATAAGTAGAGTCGCGTCCCCAGAAGCGACGCACACGTTCAAGGCTATCGAGGCTATCGACTCGGCTATTGATGCTGATCAAGAATATGTATACTTTATGGGGTCGGAAACGTTTCCTTCTCTGCGTTACACTTATCCACTTTTACCACAAATCTAATATACCCCTTAACTCTTTTTTGAGTACGAGTATAACAAGAGTTTTGAAAGTAGTGAGGTGCGGCACTACTATTTCATTGAATACAACTTTAAATATCAATTCATTGCAATGCGCTTTCTAAACGACAATTTTATAAACTACACTCAGGCGCATGCACATATTTAAGTACGTATAATGAATGTTCATTTGAGGGCACATTGGGATCAATCAAACAATTTCCCGCATACCGTGAACATTCCACATGTAGACATTTTTTTTATTACAGAAAGATCAACAATTCCGAGTTATCCACAGCCCACTGTACTTGGCTTTAGCACCACTGGGAATAAGGAAGCGCCTGCCAAGTGACAAATAATCGTATGCCGAATGATTTAAATATAAAGGGAAAGAGCTGCTGAGCTCAGCTCAATTGATCAGGTGTATCGCATCGACTCTGTAGCAAGTACGCAGGACCAAAATGGAAACGGAAGTACAACGATTTTATAAAGGGAAGACGCTATTCGTGACAGGCGGCACTGGATTTTTGGGCAAAGGTGCGGCATGTGCCACAAGGACTGGCTGGTGTACAGAACCTAAAGAATCTATTGAACCTTTTCGATTTTCCAGTGATTATTGAAAAAATCCTGCGAGCGACAGATCCAAAGCATATTTATTTTCTGGTCAGGTCTAAGAAAAACGAGGATGTGAACGCTCGCGTTGCCAAGTGGATGAACCAGCCAGTAAGTAGCCACAGCCACAGGCACAGCCGCTTCATCCAATTCCTTCCTGTTTAAGATCTTCGAGTCACTGCTAAAGACAAAGCCAAAGGCCTTGCAGCTGATGAAACCCATAGCGGGGGATTGCATTGAGCCTGACCTGGGCATAAGTGATTCGGATCGTAAGTTGCTTGAGAAAGAGGTGCAGATTGTTATACACGGAGCAGCCACTGTCCGCTTCACTGAGCCCCTGCACATTGCGCTGGCCATCAACACTCGGGCTACGCGCCTCATGCTGCAGCTGGCCAGAAAAATGCACCACTTGGAGGCCTTTGTGCAGATCTCCACTGCCTACTCCAACTGCGTGATAGACAACATTGGCGAGGAGTTCTATCCCCACCATCTGACCTGTTCCGCCGATAAGGTGCTGCACCTGAGGGAGACTCTGAGCGCCGAGCTGTTGGACAAAATGACGCCTGCCTTGCTGGGGAAATACCCCAACACGTACAGCTACACGAAGGCCCTGGCAGAGCAGGTGATCCAAGAGGAGGCGGGCGACTTGCCGGTGTGCATCTTTAGGCCTGCGATAAGTAAGTGTTGCCACAGTTGTGTTGCCAGTGTCCCTTCAATAGCTTAACCACTTTTCCCAACGATAGTCTTTGCCAACTACAAGGAGCCCTCTTCCGGTTGGATTGACAATCCATTCGGACTGATCGCCCTGGTATACGGCATTGCCTACGGTGTGTTGCACCTTTTGCTTGCCAATATGAAGGCTCAGGCGATTTTGCTGCCTGGCGATTACTGTGCCAACCTGGCCGTGGTCAGCGCATGGGAAACGGCCAAGAAGGCAGCCCGGGCCAGGCCGTCTGCCATGAAAGGGAGTAATTCGAAGCTGACCATTTATAATTTTGCACCTAGCAGGACGAATTCGTTATTGTGGAATGAGTTCAGAAGTAAGGCTATGCAAGCTGGCAATCTGGAACCCATCAGCAACATGATTTGGTACCCGTTTGTGCATGCCACCAACTGTCCTTGGCTGTTTAGGCTGGGCTGCATCTTTTATCACTATGTGCCCGGCTTTCTCTACGATATCGTCCTGCGTCTGAGGGGCGAGAAACCGCGCCTGGTGCATACCTATCGCAAAGCCCACGAAAACTTGAAGGCACTACACTTCTTCAATAAGAAAACATTTTGGTTCAGTACGGATAACACCGAAGCGTTGTGGGAGCACATGTCCCCGGAAGATCGACAGGGGTTCAATTTTGACATGAAATCCCTGGACTGGGATGACTATTTCCAGACAATCTGGTCGGGTATGCGTCTATGTTTGTTCAAGGAGCCACCAACGCAAGCTTTCTTGGCAGAGGGCAAAAGGATCCAATTTCGGTACGTATTTGTAATTCGTTAAAACATTTATCGATAGTCTTGAATCTGTTCTGTTCTTGCAGTTATTATGTACTCCATAGCATGTGCCAACTTCTGATTGTCTCTGCTGTTGCATATGTGATTTGGTTGCTGTTTAACATCTGGCAATAGGAGTGCCTTAAATTGTTGTTCGAAGTGTACGGAAAGAATAAATGTTAATGCACAAAATATAACTAATACATCGACACATTCTCTGTTCAAAGGTGAAGAGTATTTGTTTGGTTAGCTTACGATATTCGTACACTCGGCACTCGTACAGATTCCTGGGTATATTCTATCTACGGAGGCATATGTGACACACGAGTATCGTTACTATAAAGATTCTGATTATCTCTGAGCTAAGCGTCCGAGTGGACGCTGATCTAGAGCTTCTTTAGCCTGGCAATGGATAGTATTTTCATTGATAAAAGAAATGCGGTGTCTGTCTGTCTTTCTGAATACCTTCCGTGCAAATGATTTGGAATAGGTCTGACTGAATGCAACTGAATTGTAAAAAGGTATTCAAATCAATGCAAAGCTTACGCTGTGGACTGTGCAATTTTTGCTGATACTAATTTGCACCTCTCTGTATTACAATTAACTGTGTGTTTATGGGGCATGCCTTGGACTTGGCTGTAGCAAAGTATTCATTAATCGAGCGATACCTTGTTTTTCTTCAGAATTACGGGAGCGAAGCACTCACTGATTTCGAGTGCTTATTTGCTTTCTCTAGTACAGAGAACTACCGGGTTATTGTGTGTCGCTATCTCTGGCCAGCAGTGGGCAATGGAAAAGTGCAATGGCAATGGGCCAAAGTTACAACGTTTTCCAATTAAGCAAATGGGCAGGTCCAGCTAATTTGGGTCTGGCATGGAGTGCGCTTTGTGGGGGGTTCAAAGGGTCGCAACGCCACTTGACACTGGCCATGAAAATTCGCACATGAGCGAGAATCTTTTTTGCCAGAGCCAACAAGTTCCAATTTCTAGACATTTGCAGGGTCAGGGCTAACCATGGGGATAAGTAATATTGTCGGCATTCACATTCACATCCAAATCTCCATTCACATCCTCAGCGAAATTGTCAAATAGTTTATGAGGCATTTATTTTACGAGTCTTGACTTCTCTCTGTGTGCGTGTGTGTGTGAACAACCTGTAATAATATAATATAGAATGTGCTTTGTTTTTGTTTTTGGCTTTGGCTTTTGCTCTTCGATCAGCAGATTTGTATAAATACCGGCTGAAAATTCTAAGCATCTCTCATTCGAGCATCAGTCGCGATCGGTATTTCATCTATCCGCCTATAGGAATACGGATACGGATACGTAGCTGCCATATATATACTATACGCATGTATATGCCTGTGTTTGTGCATTCACATAAAGCAAGGATCGTCGCATTATCATCGGCATAATGTCGGAAATTCAGACATTTTATAAAGACAAGACCATGTTGCTGACTGGCGGCAGTGGATTTCTGGGAAAAGGTATAGCCACCCACCCACCACAACCTTTGGTTTGTTCAGCAAATAATTAAATAATTACACCCTGGCTGGGATAAACTACAATAATATGCAATTAAAATATGAACTGTATGAACTCAAGCCAAGCTCAAGCTCAAGTCTCAAACTATTTCGATTCGATGTGTATTGGGGAAGTGACTGAAAGTGTTTTCCTTCGATTCCGAAAACAAAATACAATGTTTTCATTTGCAAATATCAAAGTTCGACGATCGCTTAAATATGAGTTGTATATAGATTTGGCATATATCTATCTATCGGGGAACAATTGTTGTACCCATTTATTAGAGGATTATTCTCTGCCATTGGAATAGATGGACGCGCGTAGTGAGTTTCTGCTAGAGTTGGGTAAAGAGTGTTCACTTTAGCTGGTGAACAAGTTCAGTTGCTCACTTATAAGTGAGTGAACAACTCACTCACTTTGCTCAGTTGCTTACTTGTTCACTTGTTCAGTTGTTCCCTGTTCAGTGGTTCACTCACTTGTTCAGTTTTTCCCTGTTCAAGATTAGTCTGCGATACACAAGACAAAATTATTTTGCAGATCTTGCACTTGGCATTTTGGTCGTCCAAATGCTCAAAATGATCCCAAATCGAACTTAATCTGCGTTTTAGATACAAATTCTGTTCACTTGTTTAACGGTTCCTAGTAAAGAATTTCGATTTGGGATCAGTGAGTGAACCACTGAACAGGGAACAACTGAACGAGTAAGTGAACAGGGAACAAGTGAGTGAACAGGGAACAAGTGAACAAGTGAGCAACTGAGTGAACAAGTCAGCAACTGAACAAGAATTTAGTGAACGTGTTCAGTTCACTCAGTGCAGTGAACAGCTCTTTTTGTTCACTCACTCATGAGCAACCCAACTCTAGTTTCTGCAGCCTTTACTTGTTGCTTCAAGCAACACATACAGAACCACACTCGCTGCAGTTCACATGAACTGGATCTCGCTCACACAGGGTTGATACAGCGATCAAACACACACACTGGTCACACTATGCGCACGCTATTTATATAGGGCGCGCAATGCAAAGATATTCCCTTACATTAATAATTCGCTGACATATCTAATATATATATATATATATATGACTTATCAAAGTGTGGCAGCCCCCAAATAAGTCGCTCAGAACCGGCTGAGGAGGCCATCAATCGCAACCAGATCAAATTCACCTTCAAGTTTTGTTTATTTTGTCTTTTTGTCTAGTGATCATTGAGAAGCTGCTCCGCACCACAGAGGTGAAGCGGATCTATGTGCTGCTGAGGGCCAAGCGTGGCCAGGAGATACAGGAGCGCTACGTGGCCTGGGAGAGCGATCCAGTGAGTAGTCTGTCTGGTGTGATCTCAAGCGCCCCAATCCGAATAGTCCGAATAATCCCAAGCATTGGGTTCCGTTCCGAAGGTGTTCGAAATACTACTGAAAACCCAACCCAAGGCAATGCAGCGGGTGGCGCCCATAAGGGCCGATTGTCTGGAGCCGGACCTGGGCATGAGCGACACGGACCGAAGGCTCCTGGCGGCCGAGGTGCAGATCGTCATTCACGGAGCAGCCACAGTGCGCTTCAACGAGCAGTTGCATGTGGCCCTGGCCATCAACACTCGTGCCACGCGCCTGATGGTGCAGCTGGCCAAGCAAATGGTCAAACTGGAGGCATATGTCCACGTCTCCACGGCCTACTCCAACTGTGTGGTGGAGAAAATCGAGGAGAAGTTCTATCCGGAGCACTTGAGCTGCTCCGCGGACAAGGTGCTGAAGCTCAGCGAGATGCTGGACATTGAGATGATAGACAACATGGCGCCCGCCCTGATGGGCAGGTATCCCAACACCTACACCTATACGAAGGCCCTGGCGGAGCAAGTGATCCAGCGGGAGGCGGGCGACCTGCCGATCGCCATCTTTCGGCCAGGCGTCAGTAGGTGCTGCCCGGTTAGGCAAGTGGATTAAAAGTGTTTAATTGCCCCCCTTTCCTTTATAGTCATTGCCAGCTACAAGGAACCCATGCCTGGGTGGATCGACAACCTGTACGGACCCATTGCCGTGCTGTACGGCGTTGCCTTTGGGGTCTTGCGGATCACCCGTCTCAATGTGAAGGCGCAGGCTGGCATTGTGCCAGTCGACTACTCGGCCTGCATGGCCCTGGCCGCCGTCTGGCACACGGCCATAGAGTCCAGGCCCCAGGGCGATCCGGCCATATACAATTTTACGCCCAGCGAAGATAACCTGATCACGTGGGGCGGCTTCCGGGACAGGTCACAGAATCTGGTGTCCCACTACCCACTGACCAAGATGATGTGGTGTCCGTTTCTGCACTGCACCACCAGCCCGTGGCTGTTTCGGCTGGTGGCCTACTTCTACCATCTGCTGCCTGGGTATGCCATCGATGTGGTGCTGCGACTGCGTGGCCAGAAGCCGCGCATGATCAAGCTCTACGACAAGATACACAAGAACATCGACGTCCTGGCGCCGTTCGTGGACACCACGTGGAAGTTTGACACGGCCAACACTCAGCGGCTGTGGAAGCGAATGTCGTCGCTGGATCACAACATTTTCGACTTCAATATGCGGGGCCTCAACTGGGACGATTACTTTATGCAGGCCCTGTCCGGCATTCGCATCTACCTGGGCAAGGAGGAGCCCCACACCATAGTGAGGGGAAAGAAGATACTCTGGCGGTGCGTTCAGTATTTAATACAAATTTCCCCATGCCATAATTCTCTCTCTCTCTCTCTCTCTCTCTCTGTTTCGCAGCTTCAAAGTTTTACATCGGATTCTACAGTTGACTCTGTGCTGCGGCGCTGCGGCTCTTTTGTGGTCTCTACATAAGGTTCTAGCTGTCATCTAGGCAACCCACACACACACCACAAACACACACACACACACACACACACACACATAGTAGGTTAATTGAGTTCTTAGAGTTAAATAAATGATTTGGCGCAAAAGCTGTTAAGTGGCCAGACTCACTGGCGGGCACTGGTGCACAGGCAGCCATCGATTGGCGTATCGAACAGAGCAACACCAGAAGCAGCTGGCAGGACAGTGGCGACAGCAGCACCATTTGAACGCGACAAGAGCTCGAAGCAGACTAAACCAGTGGCAGGGCCAGGGCCAGGGCCAAAGACAGGGCTAGGAGCCATCCATCCAACCAAGCACTCGGGCCATGTCGATTGGCCGCATCCGCTTCCGCTGTCAGGCTGTCGAAGGAGACAGACGGAAGCTGTCGAGCGGCGCTAAGTTTTGCCAACGATTAGCATAATTCGATTGGGTCTGCCGAGCAGTGGATGTGAGTGGGTGGGTGGTTGGGGCAGGCAAGGCAATAATTTAGGCTAATATATGAGGCGCCAACTCACCAAATGAACGTCCGGGCTTCGAGAGCTCCGCATCCGTCTGAAGACTGTTCACCCTGGCCGGCGACGATTGCTGATGCTGCAGCTTCTCCTGCTTGGCTGCCTCCAGAATGGGTGCCGATGCTGCGTCCGTCAGAGTGGGTGGTGGCTGGGCCAACGGCAACGAGCCCTGTCCACTCGACACAAACTTGTACTTGCCGCGAAATCCTTTGGCCGTGCGGTTCGAGCTGGCATTAAACTCGAGCAGCATATCGGGGCCGCTGCTCACGAGTCGACGCGTGGGACAGGGCGTGCACAGGACATCCAGCACTGCGTTCATGTGGGCGGACTCGGCATCGAAGATGGTCAGGGCGTCCAGTTGACAGCCGCCGCTGAGCACCGGCGGCAGTTGCAGCTCCTCGAACAGGATTTCCACCCGGGTATCCGGCCGTCCGATGAACTTGTAGGCGCACTTGATGTGTGCCGGATAGTGGGCCGGAAAGCGGGGCGAGTGAAAGTAGCCCTGGCCCAAGCTGCCCGCCAGGCTGGCGAAGAAGTAAAAGTCACAGTAGCTGTGCGGCACCAGGCGGCCCTCGGTCTTGAAGTTCTCTGCGACAAAAAGAGCAGATTCGATTCGGAAAATGATCTTTGGATTCGGCGATGAGACTCACCTCGTTTCAGGAACCGATAACTGGCCGTTAGGTTCAAGTTCCAGCTGTCCAACTTTGTCGGTGGATGCTGGAAACGCAGACGCAGTCCCAGCAGTCGGCCCGAGCTATAAATAGGCGTGCCAGTGCGATTCTTGCTGTGCTGGCAGAAAGTGTCCGCCGCCAGAGTTGAGTTCTCGATGACGGGTTCGCGCAGATACGGAAAGACCTCAACGCTGTCCAAGCACCTGTCACCAAAATTGCATTCGAAACGGAAAAAGAGAGAGAGAGAGAAGAAAAAAGATGGAGGAATTTGTTGCCGCTTGCCGCTTGCCGCTTGGCCTGGGCCAAGGCAGATGCGTAACGATGTCTAAAATTTATTGGCCGATACTTTTGGGGCTGGCTCGTTGGTCAGCCAACCTATAAATATCCCCCCCCTGCCCATCAAGAAATAATTCCCAGCGCTCTTTTGGTTCCTTGCGATTTATTTTGATAAAAAGTCGAACAAAAGTTGGCGCTAAGAGTTATTCGATTGTGATATTGAAAGCAGCTGCCGAGTCAGCAGATATTCAAGTGGTTTTCCCATATCTTTGGAGCTGCCAAATTTATTGGGAAAAAGGAGCAAGCTCCCTTCCCTGCATGGCTACGAGGAAAATCCTTTTAATAGCAGGGATTTTTCCTCTTCTGGGCAAGAATTTCGTACGTAATGGGAAAATGTTTAAATTTTGCATAATCTTTAGGGGAAATTAATGGTGGGATACGACAAGTCCTGTGCTCTCGAAAACCATTCAGATTGTTGGAAAAACAAACACAAAAAAAAATATGTATATTCCATTTTGATTGTTAGTTTCCTTTCCGCTTGCGCATTCCGCCAAGCATGCGGCAAAAGGCTGGATAATCGATCATCGGCGGCTCCTCCAGGGACTTGGGCTTGGCCATGGGCGCATGACTGAGCGCCTCTTTGGCCTCGTTGAGGCTCATTTTGTCGCCATAGTTGGTCAGTTCCTCGTACATTCTAGAGTGGCGTAAGGGTATGCTTAGTTTTGTGTGGAATCAGGCAATTGATCACACTCATAACACACCTGCGCTCATCGATCTTGCCCGTGCCATGGTCATCCCATTTGCTCCATGCCTCTAGCAGCACCTCCTCGGGGTCCAGTTCCTGTGTGCGTCGCGACATCAGGCGCACAAAGGCCTCATAGTCGAGCGGCTCTTTGGCCTCCAGCATCATCTGCTCCAGCAGCGGCTCGTTGGCCTCATTGCCGAGGGCCGTGTAGGTGAAGCGCAGATCATCCTTCGATATCAGGCCATCGCAGTCCGTATCGAAGAGCGCGAAAACCTTTTGGCGACACAGTCAGTCAGTAGTCAGACAACCAACTCCACTGCAGACTTACTTCCTTCAGCTCCGCCAGCTTCGAAATGTCCAGTTCGTGGGGGGCCACATCATCCTCAGCGGTCATCTCCTCCGGCAGCGTGTAGTGGCCACTGCTGTCGGGCAGCTTAAGCGACGGATTGAATATCTCATTGATCACGGCCATGGCCTCCGAGTCGGCCAAATGGGGCGGCGGTTGCGGCGTCTGTGACGCCTTCCGCACCGAGCTGGCACGACGTCGTCGCTGCAGTTGGAAATGAAGATATTTTTACGGCCATTACCGCAATGGTTGATCGCAGATCAATCCCGGATTCACTCACACGCTCCAGATCGTCCAAGGAAACTGTTGGATCCATTGACATTTTGAGGCTTCGATTTTATAGTTTAAATTCACAATTAAATTATTATTATTTTATTCGCGAAATTCGCGCACATTCCTTCGTATGAGAATTCCTTTGGCCACTCGATTCACCCGCGACTGCGACTGCGATGACGACTGCTGCTGCTGCACTGGGGACACTGGGGAGGGACACTTTAAAAATTACTCATACGTACGGCACCGCGCTCGGTCCAAGCTCCACTGAAATCTGCGTGGCCAGTGCTCTCCAATTTTATTGACAAATCGATTCCGAAATTTTGTGTACGTTATTTATATGGCGCAAATGTTGCAGGGCGTGGGGTGTGTTGGTGTGCATAGGATTTTGCATAAAAATTGACACAAATTTGCGGCCGGCGACCATTTCCCTCGATTTATATAAATAACCAGGCGTGCCTCGGTGGCTCCACCGAACCGGACCGCCCACATGGCCTTCACAAGGTATTTTAATTACATTGCGCGTTGCGCCGCTTCCCGTTGCCACAGCACAGCACAGCCTCGGAGGCTTTTGGCAATTGCATTTCCCCGATAGATAGATAGATGGATGGATGGATGGAGAGAGCCTTATCTATCGATGGTGCATATTATTCGATTTCTGATGGCTGTCACAGACAGCTGCCCCAACGCAGATCCCATCCGATCCGATCCGATCGGCGGCCCCTCACCGGATAATCGACAAATGAGGGCGGAAGCAATGCTACTCACCCGACGCGCAGCTGCAACTGCTCAAGCTGAAAGGCAACCAGCTCATCATCCATGCCGCCAATAAATACCATCAGGCAGTTGTTCTTGGCGCCGAGCGCCTGGCTTGCGTTGATGCTCAGCCTGCCCCACTGGCTGGCGTTCCGCTCATTGGCATGCAGGCAGGAGCAGTCTGCAAAGGATTAACTGCATCACAGGGGGTGTCCTTGGTAGGGTACATACTGCTCGCACACCTACCCAGCCACAGTTGCGACTGTTTGCCAGCCACTTGCTGCTGGCCATTGCTGCTCCGAATCACAGTCAGAGTCAGAGCCAGAGCTAATCCCAGAGCTAATAACCAAGCGGCCTCCATAGTCAGCGGCCAAAGTGAAACTGTGAAGCCAGCATTCGTTATCCTTCCATGCTGCCCAGTTGCTGAGGCTGCTCGGCTATCGTTGTGGTTTAAAAATAGCCAGACTCCTCTCATCCAACTGTGCTGCTGCTGCTGCTGCTCCTTGCCGTGCCATTAAATCTCATTTGAGGTTTTTATGCTGCCTTTGTTGCAGGTGTCGGTGTCGGTGCTGTTGTTGTTGTCGCCATCCAAGTCCGTTGATTAGTTTCTGATGCTGGCGCCACCTCATCTCTCGCTCCCACTCCAGCACACACGTCCCCACATTTGCCTGCGGCCATGTCGGGCAGCGTGTCCTTTCCACATTGTTTTGGTCAAGGTATTTTTAAAATGTGTGTCCTTTCTGGTTTTTTTTGGGTAGCTTACAGGGAATTCAACTTAAATTTAGAAGCAAAAACTCAATTAAAGTTACGGCCAATAGAAAAGAAAATCTAATTTGTGGTGATTTGTACTGCTACAGGAAGGGAGATGGAACTTCGCCTGACAGTCCTCTTCCCCTTCCCCTTCCCCTTTCAATTAATATACAATATTTGTTAATCCTTTACTTGATGTTAAACCATTCTAAATAGTGCACAACGTTTATTGAATACAACACTTACAAGTACATAATTGATATCTGCATGGGTATAATGTAATCTTGATTCTACACATAGTATTAGGCTGCTCCTCCCTGATTCATCTTGGCCCTGAACATATCGCCCATTAAGACTGCCTTGCTGCCATTCAGCTCCTCGTAGTCGTATGGCGCCATGTGCGCCTTGCAGCGTTCGAGCCATTGCCTGATATGCTTATAGGGCCTCAGTTCGAAGTCCTCGAAGGCCTCCAGCTGGGAGATGGTGACGAGCAGCGTCAGATCGGCAATGGTGAAGTGTTCGGCGGCGGCGAATTGTCGACCATCGAGAATGGTATTGAGCCAGCCCACTGCTTCGGCTAGCTTGGCGCGTTTACCCTCATCCAGCGGAGCGCCAATGAACATGGTGGGGAACTGCGGGAAGAAGCAATTGTTACTCCGCGACACGCTGCAGGGACATATATATAGTAATCACATAGTAGTCCGTGAGGCGCAAGTAGAGGGTGCCCAGGTCGAACTGGAGCCGTTGATCGACCAGCGCACGGACACGAATGTCCGTGGGATAGAGTTCATCGCTTTTGCCATAGGCTGCAACCAGATACGCTAGAATAGCACGACTGCAAGGCAAAGATATTATTTTAGTTATTGTAGGTTCATGGCTATAGAGTGGAACTCACCTCTCCCAGAGCACCAGTCCCTCATCGTTCATGGTTGGTATACAGTGTTGGGGATTCATGGCCACAAAGTCCGGCTTCAGCTGCTCCCCCTCCAGTATGTTGACGATCTTCAGCTCAAAGTCCAGGCCAAGCATTTTGGCCAATAGCAGAATACTGCGGCAGGGCGGACTGGGTGGCAGGTAGTACAGCACGGGTGGTGACATTTTTTTTCCACCGCTGAGCAGTAAACAATAAACGAATTCGGTTACAATACGCTTCGTGTCGCTCATTGGCCAAAACTGAAATGCCAACACGCCAGCCCATTGACCACTTGCACAGCCCCAAAAACTGGCTGGACAGAGCTACAGCCAAAAAAATCAATGCATCGATTTTGTACATGTATTTTTTATTAAAGTTACTTGCAGGCCTTGTCCTAAGCTTTGCGAAAGGTATTTAAAGGCAATCAAAATGATCGCACACTTTGGCCTGATCTTGGCAGTTTCACAGCAGCGAGGTTTTGTATGCATCCCACTCACTGTAGTACCAAAAGTGGCCGCTCACCGCTGTTTGGTGGCGCCACTTGAACAGCTGAGTGGAATGTAAAATTATGAAAAATTCAAAATAAAATACTCTAGCCTTTAAATAACGTTACAGCGAGAGGGTATGCAAGCATTCGGTGCTATTTTTCGCTGTGTGTCTAAGAAAACTTCGCGTCGACAGCAGTTTAATTGCACTCACTTATTTATTCATTATGGGATATGCAACGTATGTTGGGTTGGGTCTACGTCTACTCACACAATCTTGTGCACCAGCTTGTGCTGCACCACGGCTACCGAGTCGATGTCTATGCAGTTCCCCAGTGTGGCAGTATGCCGTCGAGTCTCCTCCGGCGAAGTGCGTAGCTCGACTGCGTGCCCCACAGCTTTTGCCAGCTGCTCCTCGTTGGGTCCTGTCCTGTCCTGTCCTGTCCCGTCCTGGCTGCAGCTGATGCTGCGGATGGAAGCTTGTGATTGCAATCTGTTTCTCTCTCACGGCTGTCTCAACTTGCCGCCGACGTCTCTGTCCGTTGTTGTATCCGCCGTCTGTCTCCTTTAATTTTTCAGAATTTGTTGTCCGTTGTCTTTGGAGGGTCTTTTGTTTTCGTTTAGTTTTCATAGCGAACGTTGCCAGGGACGACCGCCCCCCACCCCCACCCTCACCAACGTCCTGGTCCGCCCCTCTTTTGATGTGTGTTCACCTGTCCGCTGTGTCCGTGGGCGGTGGGCGTGGTCTGGGGGGGCGTGCTGGTGCCGAAACTCGGTCAAAATTTTCCTGTTCGTGTCTAAAATTATACGACTACATAATTTTCCCAAGCTATGTTTCGTTTATTTTTTATTGATTGCTAACAAATTTTCCAATTCAATGCACCTTATAGCGGGGCTGCAGGTTCGGTTTCGGTTTCGGCTCGGAGGTGGGGAGCCACTCGAATGGACAGTGATTGGCATCACTTGAAAATTTGAGGTGTTTACAACGAAGACTCGTATCAGACTCGTCAGATACCTCGCCCGCCCACGTCCGCATCGCGTGCTGGGCCGTTCAAGGACATACACATGTACATGGCTGATAATTATGGCCAGCACTGTAAGGATTATCCCGAATCTTAGGGCGGCATGATCATCTACCTGTACCGAACCCGGACAGGTAAATGGAACAATGCCTCGTTTAGAGGATTCTGGAAAAAGGGGCTGTTCTGGGCTGGAATTAAATTCCCGGAAATGTGACATAAATTGCAAAATAATGTCAGAAAAATGGCCTCAGCTGGGACCAGCGAAAACGAGCCTATAAAGGGTCCAGCCAGAGCACGCAGCAGGATCAGTCGATAGCCGAAGACCAAGTGATGAAAATGTTGCGCCTACAATGCAAATCCCATTCGGTGTTACTGCTGCTGCTGCTGCTGACGATTCGAGGAGCACTCAGTGTGCCAGCACTGGACGCGACACCACCGGCAGCCACACCAAACACCATCGACGAAAGTGACAAGCTGCTCGAGGGGAGTGTCCACTCCACACACTCCTCACACTCCCCGGAGGGGGAGATTGCGCCAACCAACAACAGCAGCGAGACGAGCCCACAGGTGGCAGAGTCTTCTGAGGTGTCTTCAGCGGTAAGTTCTCGCACAGCAGTGTAACCTGCACTTGGAAATGCTAATCAGGGTATCTCGTTTGCAGCCCGACAATGAAGCCAGTGCCAGCTCAATGGATCCCACAACCATCTATGCAGGCGGACTCATCACACCCGAGGCATTTCAGCAGTATCTGAGCCAGTACGGAGCCGCGGCGTATGCTCCCTTTGGAGGCGGCTACCCAGCGCCGATATCCGCTGGAGCGCCTGGCCTCTATCCCTATCCAGGCCCCATTGTGGTTCAGACCGGCTATGAGGGCTTCCTGGTGCCCGCCAATGCCGCTGGCCAAGCAGACACCACAGCTGTGGTGGCACCTGTACCAGCACCAGCCTCCTCCAACAATCCCCTGCTAGCGTTTGCCTCCAAGCTGCTGCCGACCATCCTCATGTCCACGCTGTTCCGCATCGCCGCTGTGGTGCTCTCCGCCGTCGGCGTTATACTCTTTGGAAGCGCCATCACTAGCGCTCTTTGTCGGATGACGCCCATTTGTGATATACCCGCCAAGGCAGCGGACATCCTGCGCTCGGGCGGTGCCCAGGATGTGGGTCGCATGCTGGCCGATGAGATGACTCCGGAGCGGGTGCGACGTGCCACAGAATTCGTGCGGAATGCCATCCGCAAGTATCGACAGCTGCAGAAGCTGGTGGAGCCACAGCTGGAGGCAGAGTCCAGCTAGGGTGTTGGTCGGCAGCCAAGTACAAGCCAAGTGTGCTGGAAGGAATGGGATTAAATTTAGTGTTTGCTCGTTAATTAAATGAAATAAAAAATGTACTTTTAATGTGCTCGTTAAAAAACAATTTAACTTTTTCTTGTCACTGTGGGGCGATCAACGATTTGCACTCCACTCCCCCTTGCCGGGGTTCCAGCGGAAACCTCTCACGCAGCCCTCTCTCGCGGTACTCAGAAATGTAAACTATGCGAAACACTCGCATATGTAATTGATTTACGAGTGTTTGACTGCCTGTGTGTGTGTGAGTGTTCAATGCCACAAGCCCCGCCCCCCCCCCACCCCCCCCCGACCGAAAGGACCCGAAAACAAAAAAAAGGGAAAAAAAAAAAAAAAAAAAAAAAAAAAAAAAAAAAAAAAAAAAACCCCCCCGCGCACCCCCCACCCCCCCCCGCGGGCCCCCGGGGGAGGGGGAGGGAAGAGGGGAAAGAAAAAAAAAAAAAAAAAAAAAAAAAAAAAAAAAAAAAAAGAGGGGGGGGGGGGGGGGGGGGGGGGGGGGGGGGGGGGGGGGGGGGGGGAAAAAAAAAAAAAAAAAAAAAAAAAAAAAAAAAAAAAAAAAAAAAAAAAAAAAAAAAAAAAGGGGGGGGGGGAAGGAAAAAAGAAAAAAAAAAAAAAAAAAAAAAAAAAAAAAAGGAGGAAGGGGGGGGGGGGGGGGGGGGGGGAAAAAAAAAAAAAAAAGGGGGGGGGGGGGAAAAAAAAAAAAAAAAAAAAAAAAAAAAAGGGGGGGGGGGGGGGGGGGGGGGGGGGGGGGAGAAAAAAAAAAAAAAAAAAAAAAAAAAAAAAAAAAAAAAAAAAAAAAAAAAAAAAAAAAAAAAAGGGCCCCAAAAAAAAAGGGGGGGGGGGGGGGGGGCCCGGGGGGGGGGGGAAAAAGAAAAAAAAAAAGGGGGGGGGGGGGGGGGGGGGGGGGAACCCCCCCCAAAAACCCAGGGAAGCTGCACGTTTGTTAGTTAACAAAACTTGCGAATGTTCTAATCGTCAAACGGTCAATGGCCGCCCAGTCCCAGCACGGTGCAGTCTGTGGAGACGGGGAGAGTTTTATGTGAGGGGGGTAATCATCGCGTGCATTCAACTTTATTGCTATTGCATTGTGGAAATAGTCGTGCCCTGGCAAATGGAATTCTCATAGCCACCCCACCCAACAACAAGTATGCAATCTCACTTTTATGATCAATGTCAATTAGATGGAAATGTGTAAACAATTGTGGAAAGGAACCCGCTCTCTTCGTTTCTACATGTAAGCTGCTCTCTCGCGCTCTACCTGCCGGCACTGTACTTCAGCAGTGTTCATCGCAAATGTTTACGCACTTTCTTTCGATTCTTTATTCTTTATACTCTGCACTTACTGCATATGCACACATACATACATACGTAAGCTTTTCTCTCACGCTCTCATGTACGCATTTCTTAGCAGCAGCAACGAGCTGCTCTAAAGCTCTCCTATGGCGCTCTCTCTCTCTCGCTCTATTCTAAGATTATATTTAATAAATATAATATTAAGAGAATATATTTATAATTGGGCAGCAGCCCAAGGGAACATTTATTATTTATTGTGTGACTAGTATGTCTGTGTACTCATTATGATGAAATAAATAAATTTACTGGCTATTGGACTCCATGTACTTTTTTAACAGCAATACACCCTCCCAGTTCTCCTCCCAGCCGGGTGTCACCTCCTTGACATTCTCGTACCACTTGGTCACATTCGGATACTGACTGATGTCATAGTCCACCACTTCGAAGGTGGAGACAATGGCCAGAATGGAGATGTCGGCCACAGTCAGACTAGAGCCAGCAACAAAATCATCCTCCTCCAGGAAGGTGTTCAAGAGCCCAAAGGCCTTGTCCACCTTCTGCATTGCCTCTGGAGTGGCTGGCTTTTGGCTCCGGATCTGCGGAAAGATAGCCTGAAAGAAGCTCTGAAAGAGGGTGCCCATGTCGTAGTAGAGGCGTTGGTTGATCACAGCTCGCTTCTGGGGATCTGCGGGATAGAGGGAGTCGTCCTCCTTGCCGTACTTCTCAACCAGATAAATGAGGATGGCACGCGACTCCCAAAGGACGAATCCGTTGTCCACGATGGTGGGTATTACATGCTGGGGATTGAGCTTTACAAACTCGGGCTTCAGCTGTTCCCCCGCCAACACATCGCACATCTTCAGGTTGAGCTCAACTCCCAATGCCTTGGCTGTCATAATGACGGAGCGGCAAGGCGCCGAGGCCGGGTGATAGTAGAGATCCATGATAAAGAAATGTGTCGCCTTGTGACTCTTGTGCTACCAGCAGAAACTTTTTGCTACTGAACGCATGAAAAACAAACGACCAGCTTTTATAGCAAAGCTTTTATTATACATATGTATGTATATATGTAGCTACGCGGTACCCGAAATCATATCGATCGCATATATACTCGTAGTATGATTCGTACTCGTATTACCATTGCGATGATAAAATTTGAGTGTAGTGTAGTCCATTTAATTTTTAATGGACAGATACATATATATAATTATATGTACATATATGCACACATAAAAGTGTATATAACTCTTTTCAATGGAAGTATATAATTTTCAATGTTTCAATATAATTTCAATATAAATTTCTTAAATATACCTACTCTGCTAGTATCGTGTTCTTGCATTTTTTTCATAAATTCTTGTGTTTAATTTGATTTGAATAACACAAAATTTAATGTTTGGAATTCAAAAGTTCTTTTTATCTACTATATCTACATTTGTATGTAGTTATATTTTCTTTGATTATATTCAAAATGTGTGGGTCATCGTTTCCACTATTTCACCATGGTTAAAGCACTTACATAGATACATTTTTACATGCATAGGTAGCACTTAACCCTAAATATTATCGACGTCAAAGCGTCTGATGGCCTTTGTGTGACTTTGGCTGATTCAAGGATTCCTTACGCCAGCCTTGCCCCCAGAATACTCTTTCCCCACGGGACACTAATCACTTTTAGGCGATTATAATATTTGATTGTACATAATTATGGGTGCTTGGCTAATGACTAGGTACGAACGTAGTATAGTACATGTATGAAAGTACCCAATCGTTCTCCATTGAAATAATGACGTTTACATTAACTATATCAAATATTTATCGTGTGAATTAGCGGAAGTATTACCCCATAACCTGACGTCAGAAATATGGAAACGGATGACATATGAAGCATTTTATAACTGGAAAATAAAAATAATTAAAATTAGGGTAAACCTTTATATCTGCATTAAAACAACCCCATATGGGTTCTGCCACTTTTATGTTGTTCCTTGTTACTTTTGTATAGAAAAAACAGAATTGAAATCGAATCGAAACACTTAAAATTAAAAGTTTTTCTTAAATTCTGGCTTTATTTCCTCAAACAATTGTTTCCTTGAGAGTAAACCTTCCAGGTTTTCCTCCCAGCCGGGCGTTACCTTCTTGGCATTTGCGTACCACCTGGCCACATTCGGATACTTCTTCAAGTCGATATCAACCAGCTCGAACGTGGATATGGTGGCCAGAATGGAAATGTCAGCAATGGTTAGCTGGCTGCCAGCCACATATGCCTGACCCTCCAGGAAGGTGTTGAGCAGCTCAAAAGCATTTTGCAATTTCGTCCAAGCTGCACCGTCGCCGCAATTTCCAGTTCGGAAAAGTGCGGCCTTTGCCTCGTGTAACGTGTTCATATCGAAGTAGAGGCGCTGGTTAATCAAGGCCTGTTTTTGAGGATCCTTGGGGTAGAGAGAGTCATCCTTGCCGTACTTCTCCGCCAGATAAATGAGGATGGCACGCGACTCCCAAATGGCAAATCCGTCGTCAACAAGGGTGGGTATAGTGTGTTGTGGGTTTATTTTCAAGAATTCCGGCGTCAAGTTCTCGCCCAGTTTGTAGTTCAGAAGTTTCTTATTCAATTCCACACCCACAGCCTTGGCTGTCATGAGTACAGCCCGACTGGGCCCAGGATAGGGCAAGTAGTAGAGATCCATGTTGAAACTCGCGATCGAACCACCTTGTGTGCTACAGAGTGGCAGTGAACTAACATCAGAAGAGCAGCAGTCTCCATTTATATAGCGATACCCCTCCGAAATTATCTACGCTCTTTTTGTTCTGGTTTTACTGAAAATATGCTCGTCACTGTATGACATCACAATTGAGCTTTCAGTTCATTATCAAATATGGTACACACATACTCGTATATTAGCTCATTTTGGCAATAAAAATATTAATGTACTGAGTAATTGATACAATAATGCAGTGACGGTTCATAATAACCATACTCCCAGTAAATTTTTTTGTGAATATTTAGATCTTCTACTGACCGAGATTAAATATATAAAAATCTGTACTTGGTTCAGCCTTATAGAGTCGGTTCTAAGGTTGAACGATCGAAAAGTGCTGACACTCTCTGGAAATTTCTTATCAAAATTTGTTCAAAACAAATGCGGTAAACATACAATAACTAATAACAAAAAAAACAATATTAAACTAACTAGCTAGGTATATAAACAAGCTGCTCTGGTAGCCATAATTCAGTCTTTTTTTGTAGCCTGTCGAGTGACACGTTACAATGGAGATGCCCAACTTGGATCTCTACTACATGCCTAGCCCTGGAGCCAGTCGTGCTGTTGTCATGACAGCTAAGGCTGTGGGTGTGCAACTGCACAAGAAGGTTGTCAATGTCATGGCGAAGGAACAGTTGAATCCGGAATTCTTGAAAATAAACCCACAGCACACTATACCCACCCTCGTTGACGACGGACTCGCCATTTGGGAGTCGCGTGCCATCCTCATTTATCTGGTAGAGCAGTATGGCAAAGACGATTCGCTCTACCCTAAGGATCCTCAAAAGCAGGCTTTGGTCAACCAGCTTCTCCAATTCGATTTGGCCACACTGTACGACGCCTTTGCCAGCTACTACTACAAAATTCTCCACACTGGCAAGATCGGGCCCCCTGAGGCGCTGAAGAAGGTCGAAACTGGATTTGAGCTGCTCAACACCTTCCTGGAGGGTCAGGACTATGTGGCTGGCAGCCAGCTGACCATTGCTGATATTTCCATTCTGGCCACCATCTCCACGATCGAAGTGGTTGACTTCGACTTGAAGAAGTATCCGAATGTGGCCAGGTGGTACGCAAATGCCAAGAAGGTGACCCCCGGCTGGGAGGAGACCCTGCCAGACCTCCTCGCGATGAAACCCTTCTTTCAGCCAAAGGAGGACTAAGAGCTTATATATTTGTTAGTTGTCAAATGAGTAATAGCAATATATTTTATAAATAAATTAATTGAAATTATGTTGCCAATCTTGAGCTAAACTCTTAACTATTAATCCTAGTTTCTGTTACCAAGTCCATTCCATAATCAAAACCATAGAGTTGGAGCCAAGCCAACCGACACATATATTTATATTAATGTATTTTTTGCATTCGGATTGGTGTCGTTACTTAATAAAATGCTATCAAAATTTTCCATATAACAAAGCAGTAAATTTGTAAACATTTTTGCAATCACACAAATTATCTATATCTATTATCTATTTTTATATATATTATCTGTTATCAGTTGCATTCGAACAAACAGCCTTGATTTTTAAAATCAGTTCGCGCATATTTCTTTCCCCCATGAAAGTGTGGCAAGTAGGAGAGGTAGCGCTGAGAGTTTTTGTGAATCAACAGTCGATATAAAAAGCCATCTTACAGGAAGATAAAATTGGTAATTTGTCCTTGGCAACCAACCCAACCCACTCTTAAATGGTATAAAGCCTGACCCAAAAATAAACCAATAATGCATGCATGTACGTAAATACTTTTAGATGTTTTTTAATAAACTTAACATACAATTCATTTCAAATTTAGTTTGCCTTTGCCTTGGACGTCATTTCCTCGATAATCTTCTTCAGCTGCTGCAAGCCCTCCCAGTTCTCATCCCAGCCGGGTGTCACCTTCTTGGCATTCGCGTACCACCTGGCCACATTCGGATACTTCGTCAGATCGAATTCAACAATATCGAATGTCGAGACAGTCGCCACGATGGCAATGTCGGCAACGGTCAGCTGGCTGCCAGCCACATATGTCTGTCCCTCCAGGAAGGTGTTGAGGAATTCAAAGGAGGTTTCTACCTTCTTCAATGCCTCAGCGTCGCCGGGCTTGCCGGTGTGGAAATATGGGTAATAATATTTGGCAAATGAATCGTAGAGGGTGCTCAAGTCGAAATAGAGACGCTGATTGATAACAGCTCGCTTCTGGGGATCCTTGGGGTAGAGGGAATCGTCCTTGCCGTACTTCTCCACCAGGTAGGTGGCAATGGCACGCGACTCCCAAATGGCGAATCCGTTGTCCACCAGAGTGGGAATGGTGTGCTGCGGGTTGATCTTAATGAACTCAGGCGTAAGTTGCTCCCCCTTCATGGTGTTCAAAAGCTTCTTGTTCAACTCCACTCCCAGTGCCTTGGCTGTCATGATGACGACACGGGAACCACTTCCACCCGGCATATAATAGAAATCCATGTTTAGAAATGCGTTTAAACCGTGTATGGGCCGCTGTAGAGCAAAAAGTAAACTGATTTGGGACAGGCAGGCAAACCCCCTATATATACCAAAAATATTACTCATGCCAGAAGTGTTCGTTCGTTATTTTGATAAGTACCTTCCCGAACGTTTGTGCAAAAAAGTGCTTATCATGGTGAGCATGAAAATTTGTGTTTGTTTTCAGGGAAAGCTTTTGTTTGGGGCATACAAAAATACACAAATGAGTATGTATGTATGTATGCTTTGGGGAAATTATTGTCGTGATTATAAGTATATTTTATAGATGTATCCCCGAAAGGATTAATCAACTATTGACGTGCCATAAAGATTTGATCTATACCCTAACAGTAGAGCAGCTATGTTGCTACGAAGTTCGGTATTTATTTACACAAGAGAAAAATAAGCATCAAGTGGATTTAATGATATTCAGCAGAATGTACACTCTCCTCCCTCTCCCATGTTCATACTCTACACTTGTATGTACGTATGTATCAACTAAAGCTTTTTAGGCTCTCATCGTTTCTCTTTCGCAGATGTTTGCTCTTTATTTCTGCATCTCTTTCAGAAGTGAGCCTCTTTAGTTGGTTTTGTTTCTTTCCGTTTCAGCTCCTTTCCTTTTTTGTTTGAGACCGCGGTACCTGTGACGCATACCCCCCTGGTTGAATGCTGTCCAACTGGTTCTCTTGCTCTGCTGTGACCTTTCTCTATATTTTACGCTACGATTTTGGCCGGCTCTTTCGTGAATTAACCAAAAAACCAGTTATTGTCGAACCTCCATTGTTTATGTTTTTTTATGTTTTTTGTTTCCCATGATTCAGTGTATTTCCAAATACTGTGACAATGAGTAAGTTCTGGAGGGTTTTGGGGTTTTACGTTCATACATATATGCACATAAGAATGTATATAGCACATAGTAGGTGTACGCACGAGTTACTTTTTCGATTTCACAACCAAGATTCGGACTATTCTGGAACTTAATTAAGAGAAATTTGTTTGCCGCAATCGCCGAGTGACGTGTCTGTGTCCCCCTCACGAAATATGTTGCCACTTTAATGTTTTGTTATTGAATTTTTTTGGCTGGTCATGCTGATGGCTTTTATTCCTGATTGTGAAAATGATAATGGGGCGCACTAGACGCCTATCTACCCCCAGCGAGCTACCAGCGAGCTATCGGGGAACGTTCGAGAGGTTGGTGTCTTTTTAGTAGTATTTTATGAAATCCGAAGTATAGGTACACTATGGGCAAAAAAAAGACAAGATTATTATTTATTTAAAGAGATTCAAACCCATGGCCAGATGATAGACACCTTTGCCGAAGTAGAGCAGTTATTGGGATGGTTTTCCATTGAGTTTTTCTAGGCTGAACTTTATGTTATTTATTTGTAGTTATGTACTATAGCCACAGCAATGAATCCAGCAAAGTCAAGGTCGTCAAAACACTTTACCTAACTGAAAAATATGTACATACAGGGAGTGGGAATATATAAAACATTCTCTTTCTTCTGTTGCGGCCATTAATACAGTAATTACAGGATAATTAGAAATTAGGTTCTCTAATTCGTAGGTCTCATGTCCCTTTGGTATAAATAAATGACTAACGGTCAGTTATTCAGCGATTGCGTGTGCCTATCAATCGATAATAAACTACGTATTCGGAATGACTTTTAATTTGGACTACCCTTCCATAGTGGCATGGCTACTAACTAGTGGCATGAGTCACACTCTATTCAATATCAAGGTTAAACGTTTGGCTAAGTCTACATATTTTTGCATTATTTATTTATGCATATGTACATACATACGAGTGTGTATGTGTGTAGTGTAAGATTTTGTGCATATATGGTAAAAGTACAGTAGGTACAGCAAACTACTTTACTTGGGAATTTCTGCCAACTGTTGCTGTGTTTGCTCTGGCGGATGTCTGATACGAGTGTTTGCCAGCCAGCCGGCCGGCATATGGCCTCTTATCTCGTTTGTTGTTTGCTTCGTGTACATTTTGTTTTTTTGTTTTTCGTTTTTCACATATTGTGCACTCGATAAAAGTGTTTATTTTTAAGCGAAAATTTAGCAGTTGTTTCTCGTATTCAAACAGAACTTTTGTTGGGATTCTACAGAACACAGATGTTTGCAAATGAATAAATGAGATGAGCGAAATAAAAGCAGCCACGAAAATCAATTCGAAGAGAAGAGAGTGGGAGAGAGAGGCGAAAAAGAGAGCAAGAGCAACGTTCCGCTACGGGATCATTAGAAAGTTGCAGCTTTCTGTGGCAGCTGCAGGCCAAAGGAGGCAGCCACGCCTACATGCATGCACATACATATACATACATATGTATGTACAGTGTACACCTTACATACACACTCGTGCTCGTATATCAAGCGCTTTTTTATTCACTCTGCCTCTGCTAACGTTTCACATTCATCAAATATACATTCCTATGCACGGGTGTATGTACACACACACATACATATGTACGAGCTAGCAGACACGAAAAACAACTTGCGGCTGTTTCTCTTTATGGTGACTCCCCCCCAGTCCGGCCCCTCCAACCCAACACTGGACCGACAAACAGCGCTGGTTTGCCGGCTGGCTCTCGGTGGCTATAAAAGCCGACTGCCTCTCCGTAGTCTGTTCAGAAATTTTTCAATTTTGGTACAGTGTGGTGTGCTTCGCGAACAAACAAACAAACTGTAAGTTTCCACCCTTTCCCCTGCCTGTGTGTGAGCGTGTGTGTGTGTTAGTTAGTTGTGGCAAAAAATAAGGAACAATTTAAAAAAGAAATATGGAAACAAAATAAGGAACGATTTACTAAAGAAATATGGAAAAATACCCAAACGAAGAAGGAAATGTTGGAGCCAGCTAAGAGTATTTATGACATCATCGTCAACGTGCCCCCCTGGCTAACATGGGAGTAATTTATCAAGTGAATTTTTATAATCGCCGGGCAATTAATGTTTCGCCTTTGTCTGAAACTGAAATTATAGAGCGTGTCTGCTGTAATTGCTGAATATCTTTTTGCTATTCTGTTCTTTTCTGTTCTATTCTGACCTGTTCTGTTCTGTTTTGTGTAATTTCTGTATAGTTAAACAAAAAAAAAATGGCTGATTTCTACTACTTGCCCGGCTCCTCGCCCTGCCGCTCTGTGATCATGACCGCCAAGGCCGTCGGCGTTGAGCTGAACAAGAAGCTGCTCAATCTGCAGGCCGGTGAGCATCTGAAGCCCGAGTTTGTGAAGATCAACCCGCAGCACACCATTCCCACCCTGGTGGACAACGGATTCGCCCTGTGGGAGTCGCGCGCCATTCAGGTCTATCTGGTGGAGAAGTACGGCAAAACCGATTCTCTGTACCCCAAGTGCCCCAAGAAGCGCGCCGTGATCAACCAGCGTCTGTACTTCGATATGGGAACCCTGTACCAGAGCTTTGCCAACTACTACTACCCGCAGGTGTTCGCCAAGGCGCCCGCTGATCCCGAGGCATTCAAGAAGATCGAGGCTGCCTTCGAGTTCCTGAACACGTTCCTGGAGGGACAGGAGTACGCTGCCGGCGACTCCCTCACCGTGGCCGACATTGCTCTGGTCGCCACTGTGTCCACCTTCGAGGTGGCCAAATTCGACATCACCAAGTACGCCAATGTGAACAAGTGGTACGAGAATGCCAAGAAGGTCACTCCCGGCTGGGAGGAGAACTGGGCCGGCTGCCTGGAGTTCAAGAAATACTTTGATTAAGTTAAACACCTGCCCTGATATTCGAGTTCGAGTTTTTTTATACTACTACTATGTAAACATAAATATATCTCATCTAATATTTATTCACGTTACAAAACAATTCCAAATTGGCGCGTCAATAATTTATTCGCATTAAATAAGTGTTCACTTTTCTGAATGCAAAACAACAACGAATATAATAGCAGAAAGCTGTGTTTAATTGTGTGTGTGGGTTGCTTGTGGGTGAAGAGAAATTGCATGCCTGTGCTCTTAGGTCTCACTCTCTCTCTCTTGAATTGTAAAAGGGCGCTTTTGCGTGCAATAAAAGCTCAAAAATATGCCGGCTGCTTTTCCTCAGTTTGAATTACGAGAGAGAGAGAGAGAGTCAGTCAGCAGGAAATCGCCAATAAAGAAGACTTAGTAAATGCGTGCAAAAAGTAAATAGCTAAATTTACTCAAATAAAAAATAAACATTCAAAGTTCTGAAACTATAAAATCATGCAGGTTGTTACAGCATCATTATGGACTTTTACTATATGCTCTACTCGGCACCCCGCCGTTCCATTCTTATGACGTCCAAGGCATTGGGTTTGGAGCTAAACAAAAAGAAGGTTGACCTGGTTCTACTGGTGATAATCTGGTGATTCCAACTCTGGTGGCTGGCGACTTGGCCGTGTGGGAGTCAAGGGCCATACACGTTTACCTGGCGTAGAAGATCTAGCAGATCCCGAAAACTACAAGAAGATCGATGCTGCCTTTGGACTGTTCAACACCCTATTGGAGGAGGGACAGCAGTATGCGGCACTGAACAAGCTGACCCTCGCTGATTTTGCGCTGCTGGCCACCGTCTCCAAGTTCGAGATCTCCGAATATGACTGCAGAAAGTTCTCGAATGTTGTTAGATGCTACGAGAATGCCAAGAAGGTCATACCCGGATGGGAAGAGAATTGGAAGGGCTGTGTGTGCTAGAAGAATTTGCATTTGAGTTAGCAATAGAGAATATTCATTTGTTGTACCAGGAGTACGAGTGTGTCATTGACTTCTAGAATGTGATAAGCGCGATTAAGGCTCTTGTGAAATTGTGAAAGGTACACAACCTCAAACAATTTCAATGGGGGGATGGGTGTACCGATAAGATAGTGCTACGTCTGAAATGATATAAAGTGAGTAGAAAAGATTTCCAGATAACGAATCAGGCCACAAAAATAATTAACGCCAAACGTTAATTGGGAAACAGAAAAAAAAAACACTTGACAACAGTTCGGGGTGTTTTACCCATGTAATTTTATTTTATGTACATAATTTGTTTTTCCAGCTCTCAAGTTTTTCGGACTAGTATCAGTAATTTTGTAGTCAGTTTTTCCCTTTAATATTTTTCACTCTTTCTGTGGTCAAACCTGTTGGTTTATCACATTAACACATCACAATTGAACCATCAGCGAAATAATATTTTTTTTTTGTATTTTTGGTTATCATCTTTGTGTGTTTGCCTTTGCCTATAAAACAGTGATTAGCAGGTAGGGCGATATTCAGTTTTTGGACGTGGCTCGCCGTTAATAGAGCTCCCAAAATAAACGCACAATAGTACGGACAATAGCTCGTAAGTTCGATGGTGGAATTAACATTTTTATTTGTATATATATTTTTATGCATGCTCATCATGGGCTGTTATGTCATCTGATTCACAGTGTACTTTCGGCACAAAAGAAAGTGATTAACGGCGAGTGTATTCGTTTGCTTATTTTTTTTGCTTGGATGAAATTTCAGAGCTTCCGACGCCTCCGTATCAACGTATCAAACACACAGAAATGGATTTCTACTACAGACCCGGATCTGCCCCCTGTCGTTCGGTTCTTATGACAGCCAAGGCCATTGGCGTGGAATTCGACAAGAAGATCATCCTCAACACCCGTGCCGGGGATCAGTTCAAGCCGGAATATCTGAAGATCAATCCACAGCACACGATTCCGACATTGCACGACAATGGCTTTGCCCTGTGGGAGTCGCGTGCCATTATGGTGTATCTCGTGCAGAAGTATGCCAAGGATGACAGGCTCTTTCCCAAGGACGTGCAGAAGCAGGCACTGATCAATCAGCGTCTGTACTTCGATATGGACACGCTCTACAAGAGCTTTGCCGAATACTACTACCCGCAGATCTTCCGCAAAGAGGCGCCCAACGCGGACCTCTACAAGAAAATCGAATCTGCCTTTGAGCTCTTCAATACGTTCCTCGATGGGCAAACCTATGCAGCGGGGGACTACAGCCTGGCTGACATTGCGCTCCTGGCCAGTGTGTCCACCTTCGATGTGGCCGGCTTTGACTACAAGCGGTATGCCAATGTGGCCAAGTGGTACGAGCACGTCAAGGAGCTGACACCCGGCTGGGTGATCAATTGGACGGGATGCCTGGAGTTCCGCAAATACTTTGACAACTGATCAACTGATCGATCGATCGTTCATTAATTCGATTCCTTTTTTTATTGCACTTGGTTCTTGATTCTTAGTAGTAGTAATAAACATCTAAGCTAAACTCAACTAGACTAAGGATTGCACTTGGTTGCACGTATCACGCTAGAAGAGCGAATTCGATTTGCTAAATTCGAGCGGTCGCTGAAAGGACTGCTCCAGATTGTGCAGCCGCTGCTCCAGATCGTTCATCGAATTGCGCAGCGCATGCCCACGGGGCCGCAGCGAGATCTGTGGCGAGCTCTGCATCAGGTCATCCTTCACGCCGGAGAACGAGTGTCGCACACAGGAGCGCTTCTCGAAGCGTGTGTTCTGATAGTGTGGATGCGGATGCTGTTGGTGATGCTGGCGGTGCTCACAGCTCCCGTTGCGGCAGTTGTGCGCCACCAGCGGTTCATCGGTCTTCAGGGAATCCTCGTAGGTGTCGCTAAAACAGCGAATCGATCGATTCAATGTTGCAGAGACTATGATTTTGGCACTGTGGCGCACTCACCTGCTGTCCGTGTTGGGCTGCTGTTGCTGCTGTCGCAGCTCTAGGTGGGCCTTGGCATGTCTGGGACAGAGAACTTCGGGGTTATTGAGGCGCTTCGAGCCGCCGCTGTGCTGAAAGGAGTCCGGCGAGGTCTCGTACAGCTCGCGGCTGCTCAGGAACTCCACGCCCGAGTCCTGGCCAGCCGAGTGCAGCGAGAACAGCGACGTCTCATAGTTGTTTCTGGCATAGAGAGCAAAAAGGAGTTGTCTATGATTGACTTCCAGTCATGGGCTTACTCACAAATTGTTCACTGGCTGACAGGCATTGTATTTGAGCACAAATGGAGTGCTGCCTGTCCCAATGTTTGCATCGGTGGCAGACGCTGCTGCTGCTGCTGCTGCTGCTGCCGCTGCCTTGGCAATGGACTTGGGCAGCGGCACATCAATATATTCGCGCTGTCGCTGCTGCCTGAGCATTGGGGGGAGGATGAGTAAGAGAATGCATAGAATGGAAACCCGTTTGGGGCCAGGCCAGGCCAGGCCAGGCCATCACTTACTCATTCAGGTACTGATGATGCTGCTGCTGCGTGGCCAGAGCCTGTTGCTGGTGATGCTGATGCAACTGCTGCTCCAGTTTCTCCGTTGCGGTGGCCGTCGACTGTGTCTGGGCCGAGGAGCACACCGACTCCGGCATGAAGGCGCTCGTTGGCCGCTGGCTGCTGCCTTTGCTGCCCTTGCTGCAGCGCTGTGTGTGCCGCTGCGGACGCTGGCGGCGCTGCTTCTGGCCACGCGAGGAGCCAATGCCGGCTATGGTGTATGTGAGTCCCGCATCCGAGGCAGCAAAGTCGCGCTGCGACCAGAGACGGCTGCAAAGAGAGAAGAGACGAGCAGACGACCATTTGAGTTGCAGTTGTCACCACCACAGCCTCATCTGCCTCATCTAATTGCCTCATGTTGGCTGCTTTTGGTTATTGTGTTTGTTGTTTTTGTTGTTGTTTTTTTACCGTTATAATTAAATCGGACAGGAGAGAGGCCTAAGTGAAGCCGGTTTGCCCCAGCCAAGAACCGAGTGCCCCATTAGGAATCAGCGCCAACAACAACAACAACCAAAAGCAGCCAACAGCACATGAAATTGCAATACTTCTAAGATTTATTGCATTGGTATTATGGATAGAGCCTTAAGCCTAATGTTTATTCTATGGCTAACATTCAGATCTGTGGGCATCTGCGGGCCACTTTCAGTCTTCCGTTGTTTACCGTTTCTGGCGCATGCACAGGTAGCAGCAGGCGCTGAAGAGTGCCCCCAAGCTGATCAGCACCAGCAGCAAGACGGTCACAAATTCCAGTCCGCCCATGAAACTGGATGCGGAGGCGTGCGTGGGTCGCGCCGCCTGCCCGAACTCGGCCAGTTCGATGATGCGCGGCATCGACTTGCTGCCATCGACTTTCTGCTGCTGCAGCTGCAGTGCATCCAGCTGGAGGCCAGCCAAAGAGCTGCAACACAAGAGAGGATTATGGTAGAAATATTTATGGCTGAATTGGGTTTGGGGGTTGGGTTGGGGATTGGGCAGCGTAGACTTACTCCTGCAGCTGTTCCATTTCCATAATGGAATTTGTGTGCGGATCAACGGCATAAAGGTAGGCATTGGTGCTGTCAAAGAAACAGTTAAACGATCAACGATCAGCTGATAAAAGGGGGTTACATTTCGGGCAGCTACGGGGAATATTTTCAACCAGGATTTAAGCTCAAACTGAGACTTTTTCTTGGTTATTATTGCAACTCTTTTTGAATAATTTTACTTGGATTTTCTTGGGTTATTTGATAGCTACTCACGCTGCTTCCAGTGCATTCGAGTGCGGCTCCAGCAGTCGCACACGCACATCCCTGCCAATCGCCGAGCTCAGCGCCTCCATCAGGCCCTCAATGCGACGCTCCACCTCGACGGGCTTGCCGGCCACCACCAGACGCACCTGCCTCGACTCGTCGATAATGTACACAAAGACATTGACAATGCCGCTGCGTCCGTCGTCGGCGCCCAGGCGATCGGTGGCCTTCACATCGAACCCGTACAGATGCTCGTCGCGCGGCAGATCGCCCAGCAGCCGTATGTTGCCGGTCGTCTCATCGATGCCAAAGAGGCGCGTCGGCTCGTTCAGCAGACGGTAGCGTATCTCCGAGTTGAGGCCCTCATCCGCATCGGTGGCCAGCACGCGGGTCACCGGGTAGCCGAAGCTGGCGCTCTGCGGCAGCACTGCCACAATGGGCTGGCCATTGCCACGGAAACGGGGCGCATTGTCGTTCTCGTCGGTTATGTGCACCAGGATGCGGCACTCGTTGAGCGAGAGGCCCTCGATGCGTTCGTCCACCACCGGGTAGGAGACGCGGGCAAAGTTGCGGGCCTCCCTGCTGAGGCGATCGGCGCGGATGCGCAGCTGATAGCGGGCGATGTGCTCCCGGTCGAAGGGCTTCAGGGCGTAGAGGAGCATGTTCTTGGCATCGTACTCGAACGGCGGATGGGCATCCGTCTCGTCCAGGCCCTCCTCCAGCCACAGCGACCAGCGGTAGTTCTCCGAGTTGAGTCCCGCGCTCAGATTCAGACGCATCACCTCGATGGGCGCCTCATTGTTCTCCGGCAGCCTCACCTCGTAGTAGGCGTGCTGGAAGATGCTCACATTGGCCGCTGGCTCCGGCTTGGGCGTCGACTTGGGCGCATCGGTGACGGCCTGGCCCTGCAGATTGACAATCACCACGGCGGTGGCGGATAGCGAGGGACTGCCCACATCGGAGGCGATCACGGACACATTCAGATGCTCGTAGTCGTTGTAGCCATTGATGCGGGACACCGTGCTGATGGTGCCGTCCCGCGAGTCGATCTGGAAGAGCGGCGCCTGCAGCTCCTGGTGCCGGATCGAGTAGAGCACCAGGCCATTGCCATTGCCCACATTATCCTTGTCGATGGCCGCCAGCTGACGCACAAAGGTGCCCGGCTGTGTGCTGCGGTCCAGATACGCCTTGTACACGGGCAGCATCAGCGTCCGATCCGCCACACTCGGCCAGTACTTGACGGCCTTGGCCTGGTCATCGTAGCCAATGAACTCCGGCCGATTGTCGTTGATGTCCAGCACATTCACCTCCACATCCACACTGCTGGACATGCGCTGCAGCACCGTCGCTGCATTGTCGGTGGCTATCACCTGGAAGCTGTACTTGTCGCGCAGCTCCCGGTCCAGCTGTCCGCTGATCTTGAGCACGCCGGACGCCGGCTTGATGGCAAAGGGCAGCGTCAGGTCGCTCAGGGTGTACGTGATATTGGCATTCTCGCCATAGTCCATGTCAATGGCCATCAGCTGGCCCAGCACACTGTCCTTGTAGTCGCCCTCGGCGGTGTCGAAGCTGTACCACGACTTGCGGAACGTCGGCGCATGGTTGTTCACGTCCATGACGGTGAAGCGCAGGCAGGTGGTGTCCTTGAGGCCGTCTATGTCGGTCACGCTCAGATTCAGCCAGATCTCGATATTGGCCGCCAGCGGAAAGTTCACCGACAGCTCCCCGCTCAGCTTGTCCATCGTGAAGTGGCGCACGCCCTGCACCCGCAGCAGCGGCATGCCCGGCGACCGTTCCACCCGCTCCCCCAGCAGCTCGTAGTGCAGCTGCGAATTGCGCCCAAAGTCCTCGTCGCTGGCGCTCAGCTGCAGCAGTTTCGCCCCAATGGGCGTGTCCTCGTAGATGGCGAACAGCGGGCACTTGGCGGGCAGGGCACGGACCATGCGGCGTCGCGACTTGGCTCGACCCACAACGCCGACAGCAGCGACTGCGGCCGTCTCGCCGCGCTCCATGTGCAGGCGCGGCGAGCCCGGAATGTGATAGGGCGGCGGCGCCAGCATCATGGCGGCTGTGGCCTGGGGCGCTGCCATGCCGCTGGAGCTCTCCACAAAGTAAATCTCCATGTCCGTGGTGTACTCGCGTATCTCCAGGCGCGAGTCCTTGAACACCGAAATGCGCTCGAAGACGGGCGCATTGTCATTGACATCCGCCACCAGTACGGTGAGGTGGGCGTAGCCCGAGAGCCCGCCGCTGTCGGCGGCGATCAGCTTCAGGTTGTACAGCTGCTGCTTCTCGCGGTCCAGGCCGCGCTTGCCCGTGTAGCAGATGCGGAAGTAGGGGCCGCCGCTGCTCAGCTTGAAGTTCGACTGCATGAAGGTGGTGTGCAGCTCCTGGTACTTGAACTCGTCGTTCCACTGGTCCGTCAGATTGAATATGTTGAAGGCGCCCGTTGTGGGCGGCATCTTGTGCTGGCTGCTGTTCCCCAACCCCCCCGAGCTGCCGTTCACGTACTCAATGCTGAACTCCTCGCTGTAGTCGCCCTGCAGCTGCACACGAAACTCGGCATTGGCGCCCTCATCGGCGTCCTGGATGTGTATGGCATGGTTCATGGAGAGTTCCGTGCCCGGGGCACAGTTCTCGTTGATCAGGCCCACATAGGTGAGGGCATTGAATTTGGGCGCATTGTCGTTGACGTCGTCCACATGGATGTTCACCTGGTAGATGCCCGCACCGCTGACCAGACCCGTGCTGTACTCCACAATCACCGT